ACGTCCATGAAGGGTTCACAGAGCACAGGCTGCGAGAGCCAGTGGGAATCAGAGTGCATGTGGAAGCTGGTCGTCGTCAATGGTGGCTCTGTGACGCACATCAGTGGGCGGAGCTACAGCTGATCAGCGCTGTAGCTGGTCAATCTGGTGTCCTCCATGGGTCGTTTGCTGGGTCATAGTTCTCAGCATGGAGCGGGACATGGCCTCGGTGTTGCTGGGGGTTGGGCAGGTAGTAGATGTGTTGTTGGCCGACATTGGCCTGCGGTGCCGGCTGGGGAATGTGTAGGGACGGCGGCGCCGGTTTTGGTGTAGGGTAGGGTGCCGGCAGGAAAAATGAACTGAATTCAAAGTGCATAACAGTGCTGCAGTGCATGGACTTGTTTGCTGATGGCGCGCCGAAGAGAGCTGGGTGAAACTGAAACTATACAAAATAGCTACCGATGTCAGCCGCTGCGAGTTCCGGATGACTGTCCTCACTGGTGATTTCTGGTACGGCATCAGGTGTGACTGGGGCAGCTGGTGCAGGCGATGGTGGTGTGGGTGTGTAGGAGAAGTCTGGGGCTGAAAGTGATGCCGGTGGTGGAAGCGCTGATGCCGAGAGAAGCATCTGGGCCGGTGAGGCCGGCGGTGTGTTGGCAGGTGAAGTGGGTGTAGGTGACGGTGGTGGGTGGACTGCCTCGTGTTGGTGTGGGGGTGCTTGAAGTTCTTCCCAACGTGCTTTGCACTGCTCAATGGAAAAACCTACTCGACGGGCAACGTAGTTCCAGTTCGGGCGGAGACGAGTATCAGTTTTGAGCTCGACAAGGCGGATACCTGCATCAGCGTCCCAAGCATCCCAATCCGCATCTTCGTTGAGGGGTGGTGGAGGCTGACGTTTGCGCTTGGGTTGTGGCTGTAGTGGTGATGAAGAAGAAGCCGAGGATGCTTGGGAAGGAGGAGGTTCCTGTGGTGCATGTTTGACGGGAGCAGCAGGCGCCGAGTCGCACGAAGAGGTGGGGGAGGGAATGGGGACGGCTGTGATGGGAGCTGGTGAGAGAGTCGGAAAAGGTCGGTGAAAATGAGGGTCGACCTGTTGTGTATGGACGATAAAAACGGTGCAAGTTGGACAGGATGTCTGTTGCTTGCTGGAGTAATCGATAAAGCTGACTGAGGGCAATAGTGGTTCGATGGAGAAGTCGAACCTGGTCTGCATGAGATGGCATCTGGAAAGGCCGTGTCAAGATAGCAAAAGCAGCAGACTTGAGCGTCGATTGGTGCAGCTATGGTATCAACGCTGCATGTCGGCAGGGAAATAACATGCGGAACGCGCAAATGAATTACGAAAATGAATTATTGAGCATGAATTTTGCAGATTATGCATAAACGTGAATGGAATCTGAAAAACTGCATCAGTGGAAAGTGGAGTCTCAAGCGGAAAACTGCATCGGTGGGAAGAGAAGAGCACATTACTTACAAAAACGCTCAAAGCCTATGGCCTTTGATCTGACAAGTCTAGAAAAATCCAAGTGAGCATGAGAGGTCCATCATGAAAGCTGGAAAATCAAGTTCGAAAAGAAATCGAGTAAAAGTTATAACAGGTTGACGTTGTAAAGCTCTGAAAGTTGTCCTGCAGGTAAAACATCAGGGCGCGGCTTTTTCACAAAGCCGGAGGTGGTGACGAGGTGAAACGTAGGGACAGGCTGCTCTCAGGCGTTGGGTTGTGGCATGGAGGTGAAGGTGGAGATGGAGCTGGCAGTGTGTTGTGGGACCTCAAAGGTCTGGAGGAATGGCATTGATAGACCATGCCAAGCCCTTGACTATGGCATTATTTGGGTGAATCACCCAGCAGCGGGCTTTGGAATGGCAAACAGCACCATGATCTTGTTGCAAAAGATGCATGGCTTGGGCTTCACCTCCGCTGGTGAACTTAGTCCCACGGCCCCAAGCAAGGATATGGACCATGATGGAATGGACGTTTTTTGCCATCTTCCATGTGTTGTGTAAAATACGGGCTTGTTCGTAGTTGTCGTGAATGTGTTGGTGGGTAATGCGTGTGGCTTGGGCAAAAAAGCCTGGGTTGTCTTCGAAGTGAAGGGTACTGGGGAGGAGACGACCCTGTTGTAAAATGGCAGCAATATTGCCATAAGGGCCAGTGTGACATGCGTTGATGTGAACTGTTTCAGGGGCAGTAGAAGTGGCCGAAGTGGCCCGAGTGGCGGGTGGTGGCAGTGGACGAGTAGCTTTGTCGACGAGGCTCGGGAGGTTGATACAGTGATAGGAGAAAGTGTCGTAGGCATTGGTGGTGTCATTCCATTTCACATGGGTGAGTTGGCGGAAGTCTGCCAAATCATCGAACTCGAAGCCGTTGTCCGCAAGAAGCTTGGCGATGTAGAGATGTTGTGGTCTGTTCTCTGCGGCCAACTGAGCTGCATGGAAGTCTAGCCACCATGCTATCTGTTCTTGCGGTGACAGTTGTTGAAAATGTGGAGGAGGTGCCTTCCAAGGTGGGTGGGGGCGTCGTAGCGCCGGAAAGTTGGGGTATTCTGCTTGGGACATGTTTTGGAGCTGACTGTGAGATGTATTGGGCCGGAGAGTGATAGGTGGATGGGAATTGCTGGCTGAAGACGTGGTAGATGTAGTGGAGGGAGAGCGGCGACGTCGGCGGCGTGCCGAGGATGCCTTGGCGGTGGAAGTCGCAGGGGAACGTTGGCGTCTGTCGCGTGTGTGGCGACTGCGTTGGCGGCGACGCCGTTTGCTACGGCTTCGGCCACGATGGCTGCGGCCAGTGGTGGTAGGAGGAGGCGGTGCTGCTGTGAGAGGTCGTGAAGAGGGTGGCTTGGGAGGCGGTGCGGTTGGGTTTGTGGATGTTGCCGGAGATGCTGGTGGTGGTGGCGGTGTTGGCTTGGCGGTGGCTGGTGGTGGAGTCGTGGAAGTGGTGGCAGTGGTAGTTGGTAAGGATGTCCCTGGAGTGGTAGCGACTGATGGTGGGACATCGGAAGCACCGGGAGGGGCGTTGGGAACGCCAGAAGGTAGTTGTGTAGGTGGTGGAGTGGCCGAAGCAGTTGTGTTCGGATCCGGTGCGGAAGCTGGCAATGGGTGAGCAACTGGTGGAAAGGCCGAGAAAGGTTGCCAAACACCTTGAGATTGGTCCCAGTGGATGGGGACCTGTTGGATTGGCGGCTGTGTTGGTGATGCTGGAGGAACGGGTACAACGGATGGTGGTGCATGGGGTATAGTGTGTGGAGGAGGTTGCGTTGGTAGGGTCTCGAATGCCTGCATCTGTGGAGCCGTTGGGTGGACCGGTGTGGGGGCCACGAAGGTTGGTATTGGTGGAGAATGGGCTGGCATGGGATGTGGCCACGCGTGTGGTGGCTGTTGCTGCGGAGTGGGCTGAAAATGAGGTAGAAGAGCCTGTTGTGGTGGATGGGAGACAACTGTAGGAACAGGTGCCGTTGGTGGAGGGTGGTGCCATGGCGGTGGTTGAGTGGTGATTGCGGGTATGGAGGGTGCGGTACAGGGCTGTGGCCAATGCGGATAAGGCCAAGGGTACTGCATGTGGAGAGGGCCGTCCGAGTGGCTGCGAGAAAATGGCGCGCGGCACAGCAGCTGAAACAGTAAGTTTGAAGATGGCAGTGAAGTCGGGAAGTAATCTCCGAAATGTGAGCATGCATGCATTGATCGTCGGTCAAATGGCTGCGGGTGGGAAATTAAATTGAAGTTGGAGAAAACGTCGCAATGCACAACACAAACGAATGTCGGAGCGTTGAGTGGATAATTCCTCGCTTATAGCCCGGCGGCTCGAAAATCAGGGAATTCAGAAATAAAGTGAAGGAACAAAAGGTCAGTTATAAACAAGCAGGATCGATAAAATCTGGAATGGCGTCTGCGCCCCACTGAAGGGGATCACACCCAGTACCCGAGTGGGAAGACTGAGCGAGTCACACTTCGAACTTGGGTTTTCAGTTAACGCAATTGCCACGTTGGGAAGGAAGGCGATAGAACAGCATGGCGAAAAGTCCGATAACTTGTAGGTGTTTGAACATCGATTGTTTCACTTGACTCAGCTGCACACCGGCGGTGGTGAACTAACGGCTCAACTCAGCTGCAAAACCGAGGTTTGGGGGTGGAAACATGAAGGACCATGAATCAAAAAGTGGAAAAGTGGAGTAACAGCTTGTGAAAGAACGAGCAGGTGCACAATGCGGCGTCCCGCATTGCTTCACCACGAACTGACAGCGTCTTCGTTGGGCAATGTCTGTCAGTCGTGCATTGCCCCCCTGCTTGTTGCAAAAGAAGAACGGTCTCAGTGGTGGTGAAAAGGTGAAAAGGTGGAAAGCCCTTAGAACCAGGGTGTGACACACACACACACACAATTTGTCGCCTTTGCGTTTTGTAACACAAAGGATGCGAGATGTTCTTTTGTTTTGGTCTTTATGTTGACTGAGGCAGTGTTACAGCTACTATAGGTTTTTATGTAGCAAGAAGTAATCCAACTTGTTTTTCCATCCAATGATTAACACCAAGCAGAGGAAGATGTCCAAAATTTGTTCAGGATTGGTTCATTCATCCTTGGGTCCTGACTGAGACTGGTCTTTCGTTTTTTCGTGTGCAGGACCACATCCGAAGGGGCATTGCAGTCAACTTGGGCATTCAGCAACTGCGCGAGATTTGCCAGCAGAAGGGCCTGCACATGTCCAGGCCAATCACCTGGGCAAATCACCTGGGCTTCTGGGGCCAATCAGTGGTAGCCGCAATGAATTGATATGAATGGATGTACTCTTACGGTTTTTCTCTCGGGAACCATCTATGCCTATGCCGGAGGACGCAGGTTTGCATTGCTGCACGGGCTCTCTTAGGTTCATGCTCTTCAGTGTTTGGAAAAGGCCCTGAGGCTTGAAAGATCTGGAAAGTATTTTATAAGTACAATGTAACAATGTATCATTTCAGTCAGGACCCAGATCATGGGTATCTTTAAGTTTAAAATGTATCCTTTTTGGTGCTTCGGCAGACGAGGTGGCTTGATGATGGGGCCCTCCGTCTCTACGGTCGGGATCTCTTGGTCTTCGCCTCTCGGAATGAGTCTCGGGGTCCATGAAATCGGGGTTTGTCTCAAGACACCCGGACTCATCAAAGACGAGTAAAACAAGTGAAACCATCATAAACCTCAATGAGAACGTGTTGGTTCGGGGAGGTTGCCATGTGATTGCAGACCCCTGTGCAGACAGAAGTCTAATAGCTCTCAAGAATCTTCTGAGGCTGTGCACACATCTGGCACCACAGAGCAGTTGGACCTGGATATGCTTTTGGAAGCTTGGGGTATGTCGAGATGTCCAGTCCACGCCAGTTGTTCTTAGTATCGGCTCTTGCGATATGAGTTATATCCCTTCCAAGTTTCTCACCACCTACACCCCATTTCCAATGAACCTCTCAGTCTGGCAAGCCTCCAACTGCTAGTAAGATCATATTCGGGCGAGTGTGCCATGTGATTTGCTTTGCTAAACAAGTTGCATACATATTACTGTAGAAGAATCTAACTTCTGACCCACTGACCCCTGTGGAAGCCTCATTTCGGCCAATCAAGAGTGAACATCCGACGCCACCTGCAATCTATGGATGAATGATGAATGACTCAAACGGACGATGAAGCACCGAATCTCGACATGTCTGGTTCTTGTTGGGGCGTGAAAAGACAGGGTGATGGGCTCAGCTCTCTCGAAAGCCGTCCAGGAAGTGGCCTTGAGCTATGCGCGGCACCTGGCGAGTGAAGCTGAGTTGGAGCTCTCCATGGAGATTCTGCACTTTGCGGTGAAGAATGCATGGCCATTGCTGCCGCACATGGCCAAGCTCTCGTCTTCAGGCGCCATGGCGCCTCCAAGCAGTTCACATTTCACGATTGCAGATCACACCCGACAAAGCTCGAGAGCCCCGGAAAAGATTGGATCACTCGATGGCAATGCCTGCTTGCAATGTTATTTGTTGCGCTAATGTTCAACCATGTCCAAAAAATAAAACGCGTGCTCGCGCGTTTTGCACCGCATGGTTCGGTCACGCAGGGTTCAGGGGGCATCACACGGCCAAACGGGGGACACCGTGGTGTGTGTCCGAGAAGCAGGTGGGCGTCACCATGCATCACCTCATGCCCCCACAGCGTATGCGATGCACACTTAGTTTCTTCAATACCACTTGCTCTCTGTCTAGATAAAGCTATCCAAACAAAAAGATCATCTCGCGCATCTGGCGTGGTGCTGGATCTTTCCAGGCTTGAGGACATCGCTCCTTGACTTCCTGAGCTTTAACCCTGCTGTGTCCCTGGACCGTTTGGTGGCATTTGTGCTTGGCAGCCTCACCACGGGCGAGGCGTGCGATGCTTGCGTCGTCCAGCTCCAGGAGGCTGAGCTTCTGCTGCTGGCAATGAGCCAGATTTGTCAGTTGGAAGGCAGATGGGACACGGGACAAAAGAAGTGATCGGCCTTTGACCTTCTCAACAAAGCTTGTTTTCTGGAATCGGTTTTTGATATTGCTCATTCCGCTTGTAAGCTGTTTCGAGTATCAGTTGTCTTTTCCTCAATTGCTACTGATGAGTGTGATGAGTTCACCTCTGATTCTTGCAGTTTGCTGCTTTTCTTCTGTAGATGCCTTCCAACACTTATTCATTTTCTCATGCTTATCATTATCATGCTTTCACTATGGCCTACACCCCTTTGGTGCTCGTTGTGAACTCCTCACCAGCCCTTTGCCACCTCTTTGTGCCACCTCATCCAGGTCAGCCCACAGGGGAACTCGAACGGCAACGACGAGATCTCTCATTCCTGAAGTTGGCACTTTGTGGACTAGTGCTGCCACTGCGCCTGAGGCTTTCGCTGCAGGAGGGGGGTACACGAGACATTGATAGAACATGTTAGTCTTTGTGAGACGACTCCGGGACGAGTCATGTGTGCCAGAGAGAGAGAGAGAGAGAACGCACATGTTAGAACCTCGAGCCGTGTTGCGGGGACTTCGAGGCATTGAGGTACTGGGGAGAAAGAGCATGAACAGGATGGTCTACCAGGATTGTTGAGCGCTGCAGCATGCTGCAGTTATTCGTGCTATGGTGTGATTTACTTATATCGCTTATATAGTTAGTTTGGTTCACCCACCAGGACTTGTCTGTCGCATGCTATAGTCTTCGACTTGGCGTTTGGAAGGAGGGGCACGGCAGAACCGCATGTTGGACCTCGGGAGGACTTCTCATGCTTTCCTCATACTTTGTCCAGACTTCAGTTGCAGGACTTGCACGCGACATTCTGCTCGATGCAAAGTGGGCAGCTGCAACTGAAGGATGGGGTGTGGGGAGTCTTGCGGAAGCTGTACGCTCGGGCTGAGACCAGTGCACATCCATATTCAACTTTCTTTATCGAGACTGTTGCTTGCAAGTGCTTCACCTTGATGTTGTCTTGGCCAGGAGCTTGGCCAATTGCTCATGGTGTTTCATCCCAAGTCAAGAGCCTGGTCTACGAGACTCTGGCAGTGGGCCACTGGTGAAGATCCGAAAGAGGTCGATTTGTCCATGGTGCGGGAGTTCTTGAGTTCAACCATAGCACAATCACCTGGTCTGGAGGGCGAACTGGGCATGGCCATATATTTTGCTTTGGGCCGCGTGATCGCCATTGATGATGATCTACTGAGTGCAGTTCGATGGCTGGAATCCTGTGTCGGTGGCTCATTGCTGAGCATCTCAACCCGGATCCAGCTGGCGCGACGTTTGCTGTCCAGCACGCCAGAGGTGACCCTGGCTCTGGAAGCTGTGGTGGAGGATGAATCAAGGAGGGCTTGTGATCCGATCTTATTAAATCTTATTAATTGTATAACTAAGCACGCGTGAGCTACTCGTAGGGTGGTCTTGCTTGTTGGGGCCGGATCACAGTGCATACAGTGCATACAGGTGTTCATGTCCCAGGAGAGTGGGGCATAGAGATCATCAAGTCGCGGCCATCCTGCTCCAAGCTTGTCAAGAGGAACTGGAATCCAGAGGACTGCTCCACTTTCATTCGGACTTTTGAAGAACACTTGTAAATTAAATTGGACGAATAAATTGTCATGCCGTTTACCCTTCAACAATGCAAACATCGATAGATGATGGGCGGAAACCGACAAGCGATGGTAAATCAAGGTTCCAAAACACAACTAGAGGCGTTCAGCGATTTAAAGAGACATGACAAGTTCCATAATTTCCAGAAATCAAGAAAACTGCCAATCTATGCCGGAGCTGCCCCAAAGCTGCCCAAGAGCCACAGCCAGAGCATGAGGAGCTCTTCACTCGCAACCGTCACCCTGGAGGAACATCATTGAATGACTTGCGTTGCCACCTGAGTGGCCTCGTCACGACCGGCCTAAACTTTCTATGGGCTATGGCCGCCGCTAGAATGATCCTCGTGAAAGCGGCGGAGACGGTGAGGTGGGAGCAAGTTCAAAGTTGTTGGACAAATGCACTTCAGGCGTTTTTGAGCCGTTCATCAATATATAGAAGTATTATAGAATGCACGACGTGGATGGACTTTGTTTGTGTGAGCGAAATGGCCCCAGGAGACAAACGCCACATCTTGAAACATCCGAAAGTGCAATGGAACTGCTACAGCTGGATGCAACTCCTTCGCGAAGGGCCTTCGAAGTCTTCTTGGCCAAACAATTGAACCTGGATCGCATCGACCTGGCTCGCTTGCAGCGTCAAAGCGACACTTCGGAGCTGTGGCGCTTTTTGAGATTTCCAGCCATTCTCGATGGTTTACCTCCACCCAGCACCTTGGGGCATGAGATCTGCCCCAGCGATTGCCTGCTGAGTATGCTCGGTGAGCCGGTGTAAAGAGTTGAAGAGTCTATGGCAGTTGGGGGGGGCTGACTGTACGTACTTTTGGTCACCGCTCTGTAGAGTAGAGTCATGGTTCATGGCGTCAATTGTCATGGATCAAGTCAATCAGAAGCGAGCAGAAGTATCTGAAGATCCTAAAAGCTTTGCTGTGAACTTGTCGAGCACGGCGAACGAAGTCCGTGACAAGCAAATGGGAAAACACGGAGGTCGATGACCTCCACGGCCGCGCCTTTCCTAACTTGTGCCCTCCCAAGTCTTGAGAGGTAGGTTTGCGGAGCGAAAGGAAAAACATCTCACACCTCATGACTCAAGTGTACAGCGTACACTTCACACGGGGAGCATTTTACTCCATGAGGCGTTGCTTGTATTCATCGAGCCAGCGGTGCACAAGCACTCGGGCGGATTCGCCATCTCTCTGAGCAACGTGATCGGGAGGCAACATCCTAATGCTGCACAAGTGACAGCGCTCGACCATCCTAAAGGACGTTCTGTCCCTGCCAGCAAACTCCGGTGAGGCATGCCACCGCTGCCCATGGCGAGTCATCCAAATCTTCTGGAAAAAGGGGCAGTCACTGGAATGCTCAACCATCTGTCTCAGACATTGGCGAAGGAGGTCTGAGGCTTCACTCAGCAGGTTCTCGGCCGTGCACTGATACGCTAACACCATGTCAGCGGCAGCTCGACTCTCTGAAGCGAACGGGCGAAACTCCACGGCGCGATTGCGCCACAAGGACACTTCTTCCTGCGCTTTGGCCAGCTCTTCTCGAAGGCGGGAATGGACCACCGGTTCATCCTTCTGTAGGCCAACTTCCGTCACAGTGGGGCGTCCAGGCAGGCAAGACCAACGGCCCACAAGAAATGCGGTGCTCAAGACCATGATGAAGCCAGTATACAAAGCCATTCCAAAAACATCAAACTCTTCCTTCTTCTCTGCAGTGGTTTCTGCTCCAACGGCCAAGTGGGGCATCAGCCAAAACAAGCAGAGGAGCTGGAAGATGTACTTCATGCGACCTGAGAAGGGCTCGATCAGGCGGCTGGGCACGACATGACAGGACCTACGGTTGACATACACAATGGTGTCGTCGGTGCGTGCACACATGACATTCTGATGAACTTGTTCATTCGGTGTGTCCTGGTCTTCGGCAGACACGTGCTCGTCCACTTTTGCCTTCAGGCTCATAGGACTCCAGGGCATCAGGACCTCTTGAACGCTTTCCTCTTCCTTAGTTTCCTTCTTGGCAGCTTTGTACGAGGGAACCCATACCAGCTTGAGGCGACCATGACGAAGGCGTTGAGCCAGTAGGAGCCGAGCAGATTCCTTGGTCAGGCCGCCAGGCCGTCTGCGATCTGATGTTCCGAGGACATCCATCGAAGGTTGCCGCCCAAAGCACTGAGGCGATCCTGATTTCCAAGGAGACTCTCTTGTCAACCACGGAGCTGGAGACTCCTTCTCGGTGGTAGGAGTCAAATAAGGCTTTGGCATCCGTGACCATGACAGGGCCAACAAGGAGGGTGCATTCAGCACATGTTGCAAGCTCTGGGTCGATGAGCACGCAGTATGTCAAAGGCTTTCCATCTTCTCCTGTCTTCCATTCACGGAAGGTGAATGAGCTTTTGAGCTTGGCAATGGTGTCGTTGTAGCATTGCGAGGCGGTGGAGCCACATCCAAGCATGTCATCCACGTGCATGATCACCATGCCACAGAGACCGTGAGGGCCTAGCAGGTGTGGTGCGTGAGCTGCAGGATCAAACTCTGAGTTGAGCTCGCCTTCATACATGAGGAAACAGCAAGGATCTTGGGGATGTTGCTTCAATCCCATGGCCTTCAACTTGTCCACGGCGGCCAGATACCAGGCTGTTGGAGCATAGCAAGGCTTCAACAACAGCATTCTGGTGTCCGCGGATGCTCCCAGCAGTTCCAGACATTCGGTGGGAAGTTGAACCCATAGCTTTCGGCTCTGTGGTCTCCCTTCAAGAAAGGCCGTGGCAATGTCGGATGTCCAGATCGGCCAGCTCATGGTCGAAGCCAAAATCAACAGCGTGGACCTCGACAAGCGAGTCGTGGTAGGCGAGGAAGTAGGCACGGCGCCTTCCCATGCATCTGGATCTTGAAGTGCTCTGACGATCAAGCGGGCCTTCGCCCTGGGACTGCCATCAGGATTCTTCGACCATGAGCAGCGTGCGAGTGGCCAAAGTCCGGCTTGGCTCGGCCTCACGTGTAGTCTCAAACTGCCACACTTGGTTGTCGAAGAATCTCTGCAACTCCTTGACTTTGGCGGCCTTGAACTGGGCACGCTCATCCGGTGTCATGTGGCGCTCAGTGAGGTTGCTCTTGTTCTTGTCCTTCTTGAAGGTCTTGGCATTCTGCATCTTTGCAGTCTTCCCCAACTGACGTGCTCCTTGAAGAGGGGCTTTGGCATACATAGCCATTTCACGGCGGTGATCGCCCTTGATCTGAAAGATGCTGAGGCCCTCAGGCCTGTCCAGGTGCGATCCATTGGATGAGAACCAGTGCCATCATCTGTCAGTTGGTGGCTCTTGCCATTGTGGTCGTACATCACGGTGACTCGAATCTGGTCAAGTTGATCAGAGCTGAAGGGACTGTCCTTTGGCAGATCGTGCAGGCACATTTTGTGTCGTCAAGGCACGAGATGATGTCGAATGAGGCAGCCAGCTTTGACTTCCCAGTAGTCTCGAGGTCGCTTGTCCAGGTGGAAGTAGCCGTCGAACGACCATCCTTGTGGTAGCCCATGGGCTTGTAGTTCAGTGACCTGGAATGCATGCTCACTTGGTGGCTCCTTGTTGGTTATGGAACTTATAAAATATGTATAACCTAGCTGTAACATACTTAGAACCCACTTTTGAGTTAGACATGTTCTGTAAGTTCTTAAGCTAATTTATGCCACTTATAATGTATTTACAAAATTAAGGCAAATCAAATTAGTATCTAGTATAAGTTGTTCTTGCAAAAACATTGGAAATAACAATTAGAAACAACTTAGAAAACTTAACTTTTTTGATGTCAAGAATCTATACTTTTTCAATATTGTTTTCAGATTTGAAGTTTCATTGTGTTTTCTATTCAGCTGCTTTCCCTTGATTGTTTTCTATCTAGCTGCTTTTCTAGAGTGCTGGCGGACCATTGATTCGCTTTAAACGTTAGAACTTGTTGGTTCCCCTGTGTTTTACCCACTGCCCATATACAGTGGCGGCTCATTGAGCCGCCTTCGTATGTATGTAAAAACTATAATATGTTATATGTGTGACTCTTGTTTTGATGGATGCCTTGGCAAAGCCACAGCGAAATCTTTAGTGCCGTTGACAACTTGAGTGCTGTTGCGCCGAATGTTTCCAGGGCAGCCCTGCAAAAGAATTGAGCGACCCTTTGGCGCGTGATGCTCTGCCACCGAGCGCCTTTCTTCTCGACTTTATGCATTTGTATTGGAGTTGCGGGATCATTTCTTGGGAAGTGAACGCGCTTCACGCCAAATGGAGTGAGACCGGAATTGGCGATCTAGAGTCTAGAGCAGTTCTTGTCCTTGGAGTGGCGCACTTCCGTGCAAAGCTGCACGCCATCTTTTCGAAAGCGGCTTGGTGGCGCCTTTAACTTTGAAGGTGCCGTGTACAAAGGGTCCGCTTCGAACTTAACAATGTTTTTCCCACTATTTCACTACGTCTTGTCAAGAGATCTTGACTCCAGAGGGTTGCTTGTGAAGGAAATGGAAAGTTTCAATGCGTTGCGGCGCATCAGCATTGAATTACGGAGCATTGCTGCGTGTTCTGCACCTCTTGCTACTGAGCGGCTGCAAGAACTACAAGTCGCACATCAGTCTTTGATTGTTGAAGTTTATTCTGAGAGCTTTGTGAAACCGAAACATCACCAACGGTTTCATGCGGCTGAGCAGTTGAAACAAACCGGCTTCTACGTCGACTGTTTTGCGATGGAGCGGAAGCACAGCAGTTCAAGTCGCATATCGGTTTGCACCGTTACGACCCAAAAGTGCAACAGGACAAGGGTGAATTCAGTCATTGTGTTCAGCGAGAGATATGGAAGCATCACATCACTTCATTGGCGGCCTACGAGTTTGGCACCGCATTGCAAGGAACACAATCTTCATCGGAGACCATTGGGCAAAGTCTTGGGAAAAGCAACTGTATGGTGGCAAAGAAGGTCCTTCACAAAGGACATACTTATTCAGAGAATGATGTGTTACTGGGGGCGCACCCCTGCACGGTTGACTCAGCAGTGCAAGATGGCGCGGAGTTTTATCTCCTTATTCAGCCGCTTGAAATCGAAGAGCGGACAGAGTTTTGGAGCTCTTGGCGTGTTACTGGGCGGAAGCGCTTGCTGCACATTTCCTTGGCCGGGCGAAGTCCTACATGGTGGTTGCAGCTGGACGCAGAGAAGCTGCTTTGCCTTCACTGAAACAATGTGTTTTAATGAGGTTTGAAACTATTATCTGGTTCGGCGGCTCAATGAGCCGCCAACGTACTTGTCATGTGTGGGGTACTTTAGCTCTGAGATGTTCTATAGTCTATAGCTTTGTATAGGCGGCTCAATGAGCCGCCGCTTGTCATGTGTGGGGTACTATATAGCTCTGAAACACCAAACGTAAACCAGTTATAAGCAACTACCAAAAATTTATGCAAACCAAAAAGCTAACGTTCTGAAAGTTACTTTTACTTAGAAAACTTATTAATTACTTACAAATAACTTAGACAATTTAGTAAAGCAGTTTCAAAATGCTCAGATTGTAAGTTTTGTAAGTTAACTTACAAGTTTTCTATGTGGTGTAACTGCTGTAACTTATTTATAAGTTCCATAACCAAGGAGGAGCCACCAAGCAGGTGCTCGGTCAGCTGAGGGAAGATCAGGATCGGCGCTGGCTGCAGGCGGTGGTTCAGCAGCTGATTCTGGTTCTGCCGATGGTGTTAAGGGCAGTTCATACGGCTGTGGTGGTGGAGGTCGTAGGTTTCGGAGTGGACCGAAACTGAGAGTCTCCTGCCGATTGAATCTGGCACTGCGCTGGCTGAAGGTCTCCGCATCAATTGTCTCATACAAGGATGCCGTGGTTGGGTCCAAGACAGGTCTTGGATCTGGAGCCGGGGTCAGAGGTGTCTCACGTCCAGATGGGATCATCGGCTCTTCACTTGGTTCATCCACAGTTGGTGCTCTGGATCGGGACCTCGTGGTCTGGTGACGTCGGCGCTTCCAACGGTGGTGGAGGTACTGCAGGAGGTGCGCCCATTGTGGGCGATGGTGGTGCTCTCGGGCTTGTAGGTGCAAAGCTTGAGGTTCGATGTGGTCGGAACTTCAGCAATCTCCAGGCGAAGACGGTGACGAGGTGGTTCGTCAGGATCATCATGAAGGGACCCGTCATGGTCATCATACTGCTCATCCTCCTCCACATCTTCCAGCTGTTGTGGATTGACACGGCGGAGGTCGTAGTAGCGAGTGATACTAGGAGACTTGAGCTGTCGGACAGTGTTGAGGGATGCTTGCAAATCATCCAACACATGCTGAGGAGCAAGGATGTCGCCGCGAACGTGGTGAGGTGCCGCACGAATGAGCTGGCTCTTGTAGGCCAGCCAGTAGGTCTTGACCTTCATGGCCTCAGTCGGTGCATCAGGATCTTCTTCACCAAGCACCACGTGTGCTGGTCCCAGCCAACGAATCTTGTTGAGGGCACTCTGTCGGGCGTCTCGCCAGAACCAAACACGTTCTCCAAGTTGGAAAATGCGGCTCTGACCCTGGTACTTCCGGCTCAAGGCTCGCCGGAGTTTGGAGTCTGCATCTGCACTTGTGAGTGCCAGCCGTGCTGAAGTGCGTCGCTCCAGGTTCTGCTCGAACGTGATGTTGTTCCCGGCTAACTGAGCAGCGCTCTGAGCAGCATTAGGGTTGGAGTCCAGGAGATGAGACATTTCCGGTTGATAGCCCAAAACCACTGGCTTGGAGTGAACCCAGCCACGGATGGAGTGGCATTCTGTTGGGGAACCACGTAGGTCAGGGCTTCCTTGACTCCATGTGAGTCGACCAGCTTACGGTCAGACATGTACACCTCATGCACAGGCGCGTCGAAGGACTGCATGTCGTCGTTCAACGAGAGCAAGTCTCCCGTGAGCCTCTCCAGGGGCGACTTGATGATCGATGCCGAGAGCGCTGGTCCAGTTTTCGAATGTGCCGCCCAACCATGGCCTTCCTTCGTCGGTGACCAAAATGCGAGGAGGACCGTAGTGGCGCAATCAGACCTTCTCTAGGGCCTTCACATAGGACTCGGAGGTCTCTTCCAACACCAGGCAAGCTGCCATGAATTTCGTGCCAACATCCACAATGCTGAGGACTGAGAATTTCCGATCTGCTGGCTTCAAGTATAGAAGACGTCGGCCTGGATGGTGTCGTTGAAGCTCTTTGGTTGTGGCAGTGATAACGGAGCCACTTGGTATTAGGTTTCTTGTGCTTCAAGCAAGGTACACACTTGTACTCCTTAGCGGCCGACACCACAGAGGCATGACCGAGATTTCGATGCAATCGTTGGGCGACGCGTAGAGCATCTTGGTGATGTTCAGCTTGAAGCTTCAGTAGATGCCCAGTGGCCTTCTTCTCGGATGCGTCAACTGCATAGGCTGCGTCCCAGAGGTGTCCAGGTTCAGGTTGAGCCATCGCCGCGGCCAAGGTGGCTGCGAAGCCAGGCTAGGTAGGTCGTTCGTGGGCCATAGCCAGGTGCTGCTCCTTTGAGTGGGCAGTGCTTGTGGTCATGAGAGCATCGAAGATGTAGGGCTTCCAGAACTGTCTTCTTCATTGTCCTCAACCTGGTGCACTTTTGGACAGGGCGCCAAAGACCGTCATGTGTCAAGGCGCATAGCTCCATATCGGCATTGGTCGAAGTCGGCATTGTAGCGGGCAGCGCTCTTAGGGCAATGCGTGTTCCAGCTTATGTCATGGCGAGGCTGCTCCAAGTGGGCATGACGGCCATGACCAGCTTGTCGGAGATAGATCTGCTTGGCAAAGCAGAGGTGACGTCGCCGGCGGTGGTGTTCACGACGGGCCATCAGAGCTTCTTGTTGTGCGGGAGTTCGGCAGGTCAGTGTCTGCGTGCGGGACCAGACATTGCATTCAGGAGCCAAGAGAACTTCATCAGGTTCTTCTTCATCCAGTCGTTGCGTGAACTGTTGTTGATGGCTCTTCAGGTTGAAGTCCCAACCAGTTTCCAAGGAGAAGCGCTCGACCTTCATGCCAAGTTCTTCGGCGATCAGACCAGTGCGGGCCTTGCCGCAGTATACTTCCCAGAGCACTCGTCGATGCTCAGGAGGTTGGTGGAGCTCGTTGGTGATGTAGGCCTCAGTGGCATTCACCGTAGTGGTCAACTGCACTTCCATAGCGGAGGGCATGTCGGTGAAGACGAGCTGAGTCGAGGCCGTTGTCGGTTGCCACCTGCTCATCTGCAGCAAAGACGTGTTCCAGGTTGTTGAAGTCGTCCAAGTGCAGGTGACTGCCAGGAACCTCTTCAGCGATGCGCAAAGAGAACAGGCTCTTCGTGCTGTGAAGAAGCACCGCCGCCAAAGTGGAACTGCGCGTTCACAGCGAGCGAACCGGATCGTGTTGACCGGGTAGCCCATGGAGTCCAGGTGGTCAACGTAGCGCTTGAAGGGGCCGTAGCCGCTGAGGAATGCTGAGGCACCAGGATCCAGCATTGGTCCAGCATCGTGGCATCAGGGCGTTCATCGCCATGTTCATGTTGGAAAAGCACGAGGGCTTGTTCGGCTTGTGCAGCCATGCCTTCTGTCGGACCAGGTGCGGGTCTCCTGGTAGCAGTCGAGCTCGGTCGGGCCGATTGTGGGCATTGTGCGGCCCAATGGCCAGGCTGGCCACATCGCAAGCACGTCAAGCACGTCGTAGCTTGAGCTCGGCCACGAGGATCAGCTGGCTTGCCGCCCATGTTCGGTGGATAGCGAATGACATTCTTGCCCTTGCCCTTGTTCCTGTGCTTGGACTTGCCCTTGGAGGGACTGCGATCTTTGCCCTTGGAGGTTGAACTGGATGCCATAGGAGAGGAAGGCTGTCCGTCAGTGAGTGCAACCACTGGGAGGTAGCCTTGAGCCAGTTTGAGCTGCTGGAATCGTTGTCTGGCGCCCAGGTAGGTGGCATAGGCATGGTCGTACTGTTCAGCCAGCTCATAGGGATCTTCAGAAGTCTCACCATAGTCCTCGACTGGCTCTTCCTCACCATAGTAACCGGCATCGAAGTCGAAGGCTTCCTGCTGATGTAGTTTTTGACGCCCCAATCATCAGCCTCATAGTAGACACTCTCCTCAGGCCAGGCGGTCTCAGATGGCCAGGCATTGTTATCTTCATCGAAGGCTGCATAGCCTCTACCCTTCCAGCGGGCAAACTTGCGATCCCGGTCGCTGTTCCAACCGCCCGCTTTATAGTCTTGACCGAAGAGGAGGTAGAGTGCATCGATGACGGCCTGTTTGTCCAGCGCTGGAGCCTTCAAAGTCACCATTTGGCGCTGCTCCTTAGTCAAAGCTGCTCTCCGGAGAAGCCATCCTTGGACCTGTCCAGGTAGTGACCTTGTGGGACATCAGCTTCCTATAGGAGGTGTCATACTCAGTGACATAGGCCAAGAGGCTTTGCTGAGGCTTCCTCTGCAAGAGGTTGAAGTACTCCTCAAAGTCATTGGGGAGAAGGACGCGGTCGTCATACTCAAAGTTCTTGTCCAGCTTTTCAAGTATTTTGCTGAATGCGTCACTCTTCTCCACATCCTCGATGGGATAGTCCTCGAAGAGTTTCCAGGTCACGCCGCTGAAACTTCCAAGGATGTTCAGCACTGTGACTCACCAGCTCGTTTGCTGATGACCATCTTCTTGTGGTAGAGGTTCAGGCGTTTCCTGTACTCCTTGTACTCTGAGGGCTGGTTGGAGAAGGGTGGGACGTAGGAGTCGTGTCTCTCCATCTTTGCCGCTGTCGAAGCTGCGGCCATCGTCACTTTCGAAGATCTTCAGCAGGGAGTAGGGACCTGAGCCGAGGTGACGAAGGTCTTACGCAGGGCCTCGTTGAGGAAGACACAAAGTTCGCGGGAGCCCCGGAATGGGGCTCCGCTACCAATGTGAACTTAATTGTCGAGCACGGCGATGACCTCCACGGCCGCGCCTTTTCTAACTTGCGCCCTCCCAAGTCTTGAGAGGTAGGTTTGCGAAGCGAAAGGAAAAACATCTCACACCATGATCATGACTCAAGTGTACAGCGTGCACTTCACATTTGCATTCTTGACGTTGCCAAGGTGACGAGTATTCCACTTTGAAAGATGCTATTTTGAGTCCCAGCACTTCTTCCATGACCGGCAGAGCTGGACCAGTGGCTACGGTGATGGCTGCCTTCTCCACAGCTTTTTTGAGCCACTTCCGACGCCAGCACCCCATGCCGGCAGCTCGCGAGCTCAACCTCCAGCATCGGGAGTTGAGGACCTTGTTGGATGCAATGTTGCAGAACTTTCCTCGCAGCCCTGGCTGGCAGATCCATGGTAATACCACACCGGAGTGGGTGTTCATGGTCCGCCCCATCATACATATGGCAGCAATGAGCCAAACCGATGCAGAACAGAGCCTTTGGTGGCGGATATTTTCGTCGCCTCAGGATTTGCAACGCTGCTTGTGGCCCTTCATGCCTGAAGATGAAGCAGCTGCTGCTTTGGCAGCCCTCAGAGAGAACGTGAAGATGTACACGTGTCGCTGTGGATTCCGGTATGCCGTTGGAGAATGTGGCCAGCCCATGGAACAAAGACGCTGCCCAGGCTGCAACCAACAAATTGGGGGTCGGGAACACCGACCTGCAGCTGGCAACCGGAGGGTGGACCAGGTAAACCAGGCCGCAGCCAGACCTGGTTTCTTAGACACGAGGCACGAAGGCGACAGACAAACCTGTCGTGGTCTGAACGTGGATCAGTTACGTTGCGCGCGGTACTTTTTGCACGGGCTGTTGAGCTTGGGTTGTGGAACGCGCTCGCAAAGTTTTGGCGGCTTGTGCCTTTGCAGCAGGACACACTGGATTCCAAGAGAGCTTGGTTCCCATACAATTACATTTCACAAACCTACCCAAGGTCCGCAGCGGACCTGATGGAGCGCATGAAGGGAGACTGGCAGGTGGGTCGACGTGGAGATGGCTGAAGAACTTGATGTGTTATTTTCTGTGAGCCTGTGAATTTGCAGAGCTAAAGCTTAAAGCGATTTTGTCAGTTGTCATGCAACCAGCAGCAAGCAATGTATCAACGTATCAACATAACATTGTGTTTTGGTCCTTGTAGGAGTGCATAGTTTAATCGATGGGTGTCCATGGCATTATATAAGTGTGTTTTTTTTTGGGGGGGTGTGCAGCCTACCACGGTACACGCAGGTTCTGAGGACGCTCCACGGTTGGACCCCCGAACGTCTCTCTGAGAGGTTTCTTGGCAGCCGCTTTTGACTCCCGAGCTGGACCTACAACTGCTACAATTGACAATTATTTGCGAAGGTGTTGATGGTGCAGGGTTACTGAGCCTAGTGAAAACTGAGGTGAATCGAGTTGAAATAGGGAAGTAAGTTGTTACAACTTGATATCAGATGGTCAGATGGTCTTTGACTAGTTGTAGTAGTATCCCCGATGCAGCAAGATTGCAAACGCAAGATTTGCTGCCTGCCACATGCTAGTGAAGTGATGTTTCACAAGTGAGAGGCTTGCATCCAGCACTCGGAGGGTGCAGACGAAAAGGAGCAGATAGTGAGATTATACATGACACGCACACAAGTTTGTCTATAATCATACAATCATGTCTATAATGTCTATGTTTTCTAGATATACACACATATTTTTTATGTATATATATACATACATACTCTTGCTCTTGCGCGTGCATACGCAGGATCTTTTTATTTGCCGCCCCCACGATGTTTTACATTCTTTAAGCGCTTTCAGGCGTACTTGAATTTTGTTTGGATAAGGGCTAGATATGCATATGGCATGTCAGGAATGCAAAGCTGTCAAAGAAGGCAAGTCAGGCGAACCAATTCAATAGCTTCCCAAACTTGGGCCGGGACAATTAAGCACATGCAGAGATTGCATGCCTATGCACCAGAACCTTTGCACATGCTCATGTGTTTTTGATGTTGTTTGCATCTACTCGTTGTGGTGTAGTGCTGACTCGCTGCATAAGGTCGAAGTTCAGCGACCGATTTTAACATGCTTAGTCGATGGGGGTACTTGAGGCCTCAAAAATATTATTGATAATTTTGAGCATTTGCTAGGAAGAGACCCATTTCCTAGCATTTGCTAGCATATCAGTGTAAAAGATTGATGGCTATAGGAAGAGAGTTTGTAACAATCCAGGCTAGACAGAGGATGGGACCTTCGCGGTAGAGAAAGTGTTCTGTTATGTTTTTTCAATCCGCCCGGGCCGTACAAGATAATTGTATCAAGCCGCTTTAATGTACTATGTCTTAATGAGAAAGCCTTGGGCAATGCATGGCTGCATGGACCAAACGTACTTCAAGAATGCAAATATGTAGCACACATGCCTAGGGATTCTTCTCTAACAAAGGTCTTTTGTATGATGAATGCATTATTTTACATGCATTAACCTATACGGTGACTCATGTTCCTCATGCCTGCAATCCCTTTCCTGCCGGAGGTTACACGTGTTGGTTCTCCGCGGCTACTGCTTGAGCTGCCCACACTCCACTTTGCGCCGGGAGAGCTTGGAACGGGACTGGTCACTGTTTGTGGGTGCTGCCCAGAGCACTGCCTTTACGAACATGAACCGTGGCCGTAGCCCAGCAGAAGAGAAGCTAGCCGAGGAATTGGAGGTCGGACGGGGAACACCTCACTTTAATGTATCAAATACAGCTCAAAGACAAACACCACACATACAGAACACCAATTGGAGTATAGTGCCAGTACGTATATATATAGTTAAATAATGTGTATTCATACATATCCTACGTGTTCAGCATATTCATGTCCTTCCTTGCCCCACCGGGGGGGATCCAATACAGCATGAATGGCACGGCCGCTGCAATCTCCATCCAAAGAGAGGGGATCTGACGGAGCGCCAGGAGTCTCAGACCATCAGCTGCTTGGCTTCGCGAGAACGTGAGGCCATGCTGCCGTCGCTCCTTCGAAGGTGGACGCCGTTAGACAGTTTGCACATGCAGGAAGATCTACGTTCCGACCCAGCATTGATGGAGAAACTGGGCATGAGAAATAAGTGAACCCAGATTGAACATGTCCTGGAATCCATCTTGGAAAGCGTGTTGTTTCATATTTGTTGACCAGAAGTGTCAAGAGGCGGACATGATTCAACCGCCGTTGGCGTGTGCAGCCGGCCTCCACGGCTGAATGCTGCCGCATGTGTGCAGAGGAGCAACGCGTCGTGAGCAAAAAAGGAGAAGGGGAGCTAGGCTAGACTGAAGGCAGGGGAAGACACAAAGCAAAGAAACGGCAAGGGTTGGCCCTAGAGCAAGGCATAAATCGACTCCTGCCGGTGGAGCGGGTGAAGGGAATTTTGCTGAGCAACATGTAGCCAGCAAAGCATAAGCAAGGGAGCTTGGCTCAAGGGTGGGAGATGCAACGCAGAGAAACGGCCAGGGGAGGGGAAGGGGTGTGTGGAACAGGAAAAAGTCACGGAGAAGGTAACGTACATCATGAGTGGGCTTAGGCCGGTGCTGAAAAAGGTAAAAGGCAACTCTAAAACCACACTAAGGTTTCGAAAAGTCTAGATAAAGGTTTTGAGGAAAGGGGTCGGTGGCAAGAGGGCCTGTTGAGGCCTGTATGATAGATAGTGATCGGGCAGAAGGGGCGAGGTGGGAGATCTGCGGGGATTGTTAAAAACGCAAGGCCTTGTCCGATAGCATACGGTGATTGGTAAAAACCGTGGCTTGACTTGATGTGAAGTGTTGCAAACTATGGTTGGTGCAAGCCGCGGTTGGGTGTAAACGGTGGTTGGTGCAAACCGTGGTTTGGTGTAAACGGTGGTGTGGTGCAAACGGTGGTAGGTGTAAACGGTGGTGATTTGCGCGGTTCATTTTTGTAAATTTCTTTTGGTGGGGAGAGCCGGAAGTTCTCTTGCATTGTGTGGTGCCTGTGTTCGAACATGACACATGAAGTCCCTGACTCCAGGTCCAAAAGGCAGAGAGGAGTGGTTCTTAATTTGGCTGAGAAAAAACACGCGAAAGACCAAAGGGGCCTAATTCGCCTAGTTACCCTGCTGTTATCAGTTGGGCGTTGGTTGTGAATCGTTTGCTCAAAGTGCAAGCGCGAAAGTCAATCAAGCACAGGAGTGTGGTGCATATATCACAATTCGCAAACATTTTCTTCTAAGGTTTGTTGAAGAACCATAGGCAATGACTGGTCCTCCGTTTTTTCAATAGTTGCGCAGGTGCTGCAAGGATGAGGTGTTGTTAGAAACACATGACCAACGACCGCACAATGAATTGTCATTTTTTTAGGTGTGTCGGAGTTGTTGTCAATGTCAGGAAGTATCAGCTGGTGTTCGAAGTCGTGAATTCGGAGACAGATCTTTTCATTGCCTCGCAATTGGAACCCATTGTGTCGTCTCTTGATTTGATGCGATGGGACACTGAGGAGGGGGGCAAAGGAAGATATTCACACAAAGACAATAGTTTAGGCTTTTGAGTTCCCCAAATTGTTTTAAACTTAAATGTTCCCGCTCACTTTTCAACAGAAAAGGTTTCAACTAAGAACCAGGGCCCATCCTAGAATCTATAGCATTTTTTTCTTTTGAGACTCCGATATCCTGGTGTCACCTCATTTCGTTTGGCCATCCAAGGTTTCAGAACTTCCTTCTGGGGCGCTTTCAAGGCCGCTGGAGCAAAGTGGAGGCCCAGAAATTGAATGTCGAGCAGGTGTTGGAAGAGAGACTTGGTTGACAGAGTCGGAGTTTTTGAGATGTTGGGGACCTGTGTGCTGAGGTTCGAAGTTTCAGATGTGTGTGTTTCCAAGGTTGAGGAAGTGGTTGGAACTGGGATTTTCTAAGTAAGGGTATTCACCAAATTCCAACCGCAAAAACTTGTTCTCTTGACAAGGACGGACCTCCGGCGCCCATTTCTTCAGATTGACAAGGACTTTGATGTCTTATGGTTTCCTGATATTGTTTGTCATAGGATGAAGTGGGTCCACTAAGGGTGCCAGCAGATCGGGACCAAGCCGCAAAGCTCTTTGCTGCTGCCCAGAAGGCCTGGAACCTTGTTGCGCCCCAAGTGGACAGGTTTGAATGCCAAGACATCCAGATCCCACAGATGTCCGAGAACCCGCAAGAGGTTCCAATCATGTGGTGGCTACGCAGCGAAAGTTCAGACTGCCCCCAGTCTTTGAAGAGCTTGGTGTTGCTACGCTGGCTGGTGGACAAGCATAATGCATGGTTGACCCATGCTGCGAGAGCTCCAGAGATGCAACACGATGCAATCCAAGCGCCTTGTTGTTTGACAGACGCCTTGCAGCCCTACTTCTTGCATTATGAGCAAGGAGGGGTTCTGATTGCCAGGTGCTGCCAAGTAGGAAGTTGTCCACTGTACTTGGACAAATAGAAACAATTCTGCTCAAGGATTTCATCCATGTATATATACGTAATATATATAATTGGTTGTTGCTCATGTCATTCCATATATAATATGTGCTAAGTACGCTCTTATTATGTTTTGAGCTGGTGGCTATGTTCACTAATTTAAAGCACAATAGCGTTTTGGTTTTCCTTTGTCATAAGGCAATTTTGATTGATTTGCCTAAGGGTAGTGCCCTTGACTGGATAGGAGTAATTACCCTGACCCAGAAATTCTGAAGGATGCCTGACATCCTTCATTCTTTTGTCGCATTCCCTGAGGGAAAGTGCAGCTGTGGGCAAAAGAGGCTACCCAGGTGCACTGTACTTCAAAGTGCCTCAGGTCCAACATGACGGCTGAGACTGACAGTTCTTGCCTCCAAAACAGGAGCGGTTGAGATTGGAGTGCATTTTACGCCCTTTTCGAGAGAAGACCTTAAAGATGATATATATATATATGATATATGTCATGATATGTCGCATGGTATCAATGGCCCAAGCTAGTTATAGGGGGCCTGCTCACCACGGTAGAAGATGTTGGACGTGAGCATCCTGACCGGAAGTTGTGTTGCAATTCTTGTTATATTTCATCCCGCGGCCGACCCTCAGCAATACACAACCATACACTTGGAATGCTTTTTTGGTATTGCGAGCCATCTCACTGGGTACATTCGGCCACCCAAGGCCAGAGCGCTTTGACTATGCCATGGTGGCTGGTCGCGTGCACGAACTGTTCATGGGCGCTCGGCCAGTGGATCGCGACCGGATCGAGATGTATATCTTCCGCTCTGAAGGTGGCAGCGGTGCCCCATCCGAAGCACAAATACCTTTATAGTTAGTCCATAAGTATCATAAGTGTTGCATTCAGCTCCTGTACTCACTAAGTCACTTAGATGGAAATTATGTGGACATCTTCAAACGCTGTGTTTCTTAAAGCAGGCGGATTTCCATGGGTTTCCACGTCCAGGGTAGTTGCCCAGAACGCTGGGGTCCAAAAAGTGTCAGCTTAGAACGCTGTAGCTGGTGTTCTCGCAGCCAGGCCGTGCAGCGCGCCCACAGTTCCAGACATCCTTGTCAGAGGCAAATCTCAGATTTCAACTATGTTGTGTTGCAACACCAATTTGGATCGGCGGCATGGTCCCAAGGAGCTGGAACATAGATGAAGGTCGTAACGAGTTCTCAATTCTTTGGCAAATGTGTGCAATGTTGGAACAAATTGCCGCTGCTGCTCATGAACAACAGGATGCCAAAGGTTTTGAGAGCACGTTCGCACGTTGTGACTTGGATCAAGATTTCGACAATGGCTGTGCCCTTCTTCAGATCCAATCCCGGCATTTCCCACGGGAGGCTGGGCAAGAGCTTCTCCTGCGACTTCTGAGCACCGGACCCCAGCAGGACAGTGGTTCAATTGCTCGCATTGGAGCGCCACACATGGGACAATTTGTTGCCACCCCACAGAAGTCCGATAATTAGAGACGAGAGATGGAGACTCAGCAAGTCAACGTGAGTTCTTGGACGATTTGCTCATTCGATCTTATTCGCGCTGATATGCGTGAAGAGCACTCACACATCATCTCTTAAGACTTCGTGTCAAGTTGGTGCCTCTGGAGGACAAGTGTTTGCAGCTTCTTTTGCAGATGGAGGCTGGGAGGGTACTCATTTGCTGCCACACACTGTGGCCATCTTGTGGTTTGCAAAGGCTGCCCACAATTATGTCCTTCTCGGGTTTGGGGATCCTTCATCCCCACCTTTGGGACAAGAATTGGTTGACGACGAGGAGTTATGTTCAATGTTGACTAAAGAGTTGATGACAGTTATATACTATATATGTATACTATATACTATAGCTGACTCTTCTTTCTCCTGTGCTTCGTAAACTCATGACGATTTATTGCGCTTGTCATTCTGTGCCATATATGCTGCCCCACAACCAGGTTGGAACTCCCCTGCACTTGTTACCATGATACGAGATGGATGTGATGGGTGCGAGTTCTTCTTTGAATGATATTGATATTATATTATAGGTAATATATAATGTAACATGTATAGTATTGCACAAAGAGTGCCAAATGACGCTAAACATCCACCATGAGAATGGGACCACCCTCATCCCGGTGTGGTTCGATGCCAAGACTCTGAGGCTTGGCTTCGGGTGGCGCCTAGGAACGATGGCATGACCGCTGCGGAGTTCGCACGGACCAAGATGCCGGGCCGGTGGTGTGTGGGGTTGATGGGTGGACACCTGCAGGCTTGCAAGGCCATTCTCATGCGGACTAGTATCCACAAGCTCTATAGGTGTTCACTGGAGGTATCGGGTTTGATCAGCCATGTCGGCTATGCCACACACCGGCAGCTGTCAGCTTGGGAAAGGAGGTTCATCCTTCACCAGTGGCCTTCCCCGAAATGTGGCGATCGGGATGTGTACAGTACCCTATGCTTCTTCAACACGTCGATTTGTGGAGTTGTGCCTTTCGGGAGTCATTGTTAACTCACCTAAACATCAATAAGCTGCCTAAACTAAGAGATGCTTGACTGACCGGCTAACCTTGATTGTCTTTCTCAAGTTGCAAGTAGTTGGACCACGGTGCGTAGCCGTGGAGTTTCATGTTCATTTTTTTGGGGGGCTATTTACAGGTACTGTATCCTTGTTTTCGATACAGGCTAAATTTATAACCAGTGTGAAGGTGAAACGACAGCTCTCGTAAACTCAATGCCGGAAACTCGGACTACAATGTCCCCAGTGTCACGGCTCGCAGTTTTCTTGTTGCTGTTTTTTGCGGATCTTGCTTATGAACTTGAGTGAGGGTAGGCCAGCAAATCTAAGGACCACACGGCCACGCACCCGACCAATTCAAACAAGAAACGATAAGGCAAAGCTGAAACTGTTCTTTTGAAACTTCTCGCAACAACCGTGCAAGTTATTTGTGTTGTTTTCCCTTGTTTGTTCACTTCCTTGTCCTTCGTTTTGTTTTGAGCTGTCGTCCTTGTGGAGGGTAAACGCCGTTTCATTTTAGGGCCAGTTTTTAGTTGTCATGGGGCCCGGGGCGAGAGTTTTTAATTGAAGAGTCTTAGAGTACATGTACATCTACGCGTGCAGGCGGCATCAATTGCGAGACTCTCTGGCAAGTTTCCTTAACTCACAACGAGCTTCCATATGCGTTTGGTTCTTGAAAAGCAGAGTAGTTTGAGGAATTTTGAGCATTGCCACAAAGATGCAAAATGTACTTCTCACCCTCATCTTACACTCTCCCAAGTCAGGTTGAGGCCTCTACGACACCGGTCAACAAACATTCAGAAGGTCGGTCAATCTAAAGGCTTACCAAGTCTGCAGGATCCAACAATTAGACAAAACATCACGGTCGTCTATGAGCCGTGGACCTAGTTCATCCATTTTCGAGGGAAGCTCGAACAGACAAAATGGTGCCTTTGTTGAGACCCTTCGTCGGACAGAAGAGGCATGTGGCTGTGGCAGAGCTGCCGGAGGCCCTCGACGCATTGCTGGTGTCGCAGGTGAGTGCAGCCATCGAGTGCTTGGAGGACGTGACTTTCAGCTCTCCGCGCTCAACGCAATCAGCACACAAGTATTCTTGTTACCGCCCTGGGTAGGGGTGTTGCAGGCACAAAGTTAGTTGAGGTGGTGCTAAGCAGTAGTCAGTAGCCATAGAGTGATACTCGTACAGTGAGGACTCGACCATCAGAGGTTTAAGCAGAAGTTTGCGGTTTATAAATTCTACGTCGAAATTCGAAATCTTATATATATATACACTTTCCACGGCCGTGGTTGGCAGGGCCGAGGACAATTGGCAGTGCTTCTTTTCACGGCTTCCCAAGGAACACATACATTTCATTACGTTTTGAAAAGCTGAGATGCGCGTGTGAGCACAATGCCTCAAAATTGGCACGTGTTTCGTTTATTGTAAACACACAAACAATTTTGATTAGTGTCTCAGCACTTTTGGTGTTTTGCGTTTGGGGAACAAATTTGTTCTTGATTGGGTGCACTCAAAGAGGCACCCTCATTGCGCAAATCCTGTGCTCAAACCATTGGGCGAAGGTGACGCGTGACTTAGCGACTTAGCAAATCAAGGCGTCTCAACCATTTTATGCTTCGAGTGTGGACCCCCTTGGGGGAGAGTTATTGAGTTTCAAGGATGCCTGATTCATTGATGTTGCTGACCTTTTCATCCCTTTTTGTCATTGATGGAGATGCGGTCAGACTGCTTTGCAAACAGTATCTTCGTTTCATGCCATGACGTGTGTTAGATCTTGTGTGACTTCCAAGACTCAATTCTGGTCTTTGGAGGGCCTTGTGGAACAATTTTGGGAGGGTCGTCCCGCCGACCTTTGCCACACATTTTGGTAAAACCAAAACCTGCAGGACGCTAGCGCCAACCCGCTGGAGTCGCTACACCCTGACTACCGAACGGAGGAGCTCTCCCCGGCGGCCAACGCGGAGCTGGCGGCGCTGTCAATAGCTGATCGCAGGGATTTGATACAAACGTTGCGTCAATTCTTACAGACCTACTTGGGAGATCTTCAAAAGCCTTATCCTGAAAGCACGGAGCTTGTGGAGTTTTGGCGGGTTGAGGAATATGCTTGGGTGCCAGCTTTAGCAAGAACCGGACTGAAGTTATCTTGCTTTGGCCCAGCATATCAGGAGCTTCTCCGCATGTAAAATGGAGCGTTTCATTTGGTCCCACGATGATCACACCATGATCTCAACACGTTGTCATTTGCAGAGTGCGTGATTGCCAAGCTCGGAGTGATTCATGCACATCTGTTCCAGTTTTGCGCTTGTCCATATTATGGTTCGAAGTTTTGACAGCATGTTCAACGGAAGGACACCTATATAGCTAGTCAGCAGATGTCAGCAGCGACTCTCACCATCTCCTAACCCGATAACCATCACTTCCAGTCAGCACATGTACAGCAGCATGTAGAAATCCAGGATGTGCAGGGTGGCTGCATTAGAGAGAACATTATACAACATCGATTCCGATTCCATGACTATATCATCAACGTGATGGAGTTGTCCGTCGTTGCCCAGCATGTCAATGTGCAGAACTCAAAATATTTACTTGCAGGAAGTGGAGCAGTTTTCTTGTTGCTAACCAAGGCTTGTCAAGAGACTTTGCAGTTGCAGCCTGCTAGGTCCTCAATAATTTGTCCTAAGGGGTAAAACTCCGGCTCGGCGGCCTGCCGGCAGAATAGACACCGAAGAAAACGACGAGTCGATGGCTGGAAGCTTCGATTCATATGATGTGATTGTCAGAACTTGAAATGTGCAATGGCCCGACAGCAATGCTAGAATTCAGTGCTGCATCTATGAATCCTCGTTTCGCCAGTGGGACGGCATATGCCTGCAGATCGATGGTGTGCAAAATAGGGTCCGAGTCATTCCAGCGGCCGTGGGCGGGGAGGACCCATGCAGAGCGGAGTCGAGTAACGCTCGAGAGGAGGGCTCAATCTCCGGGTGCAGGCCGACAGGCGGGCCACTACCCCACACCTGCAGTTAAGGGGATGTTAGGGGATGAGCGGACTGGGTGTGGGCCGTTAAAAACACAACTGACGCTCAAGAGATCTTTAAACATGCCAGCAACAATACAGCAAGTAAAATTATGTACTCAGTAAAACTATCGAACATCTCATAAATCGCCGACAAGTTTCCTTTTGATTACTGTAACAAGTGGCGAGTAATTAACGCATACCAACGCTTGAGTCGAGTTGATCAATCGAAATTCATGATTGGTGGATTTCCAGTGTGGCCCCAGTGGCAACTCTTTGCTTGAGAAGCCACATTCCCTTAAAGACGAGTTTGTGAAACTAATCTGATGGACGAAGTTGCGCTGGCTCAGGTTATTCCAGCAAACGTGGCATGGGCTTTATGCAGACTATATCAATGTTGCAGATGAAGTGCTTCTGCCGCGGATTCGCACTGCTGAGCCATGGGTTTCATGGCCAAAGCCAGGAGTACCATCTACCTACAGGGCTGAAATGACCCGAGTCCACCGTGTGGCCAGAGGCCCAAGGTCTTTCCAGGGCCCATGGAGCATCGTGGAGCTTTGTTCTTCGTTTCTGCAGTGTTTTGCTGCAAAATATGGAAACCGGGCCAATCATTGAGATTTGAGATGTCACAACCTTCCCCAAGTCATCGAGAGCCGAGTGCCAAAAACATGAGATGTTTCCAAACATCCTATAGAACAGCCTGTCGGCGTTTGCACGGAATGAGGAGACGGCGTCGGAGATTGGATGCTTGGCGTTGCAAGGAATGGATTGCAGGATGCACCATACGATGTCCCTACATTGATTGTATTGTACAACCTTGGTTTGCAGGTAGGTTTGGAGGTGCCAATCGGAAACCCTGAAGGCATGATGGGCTTCAATGGAGGCTCAGAGCACGAAAAGCCGACAGCTACGCGGTGGTGCTTTAGGGATGTCTCAGATTTTTAGAATGAACCGATGCAGAACCTTGCCCTCCATCCCCTTCATCCCCAACCTAATTGGGATACGAACAGGTTTCAATTGAAAAGAATCATCACTAAATCGTTAAACTAACTCATCAGATTTGAGGAGCTGCATTGATTCGAACGCAGTACGAAGAGACCTGACCACAAGCGATTTTCCTTGGAACCGTTGTGCGAGGGAGCTGGTTGCATCCCCGTCACCGGGCCAGAAAGATGTGTTTTCCACCAAAGCCTGGGGAATTGGTGAATCAGTGGTCCTGCTCAGGTGGGTTGAACATGCAACTACCTTGATCGGAGCATTTTCAGCAGTAGTCTTTTTCCAATCTTTTTCCAGTCCTTTCCAGTAGTGGCAGGAGCAAGGGGCACCAGCCAAATTGTTCCCAGAAACAAGTCTGACGGACAACTTCAGGCATCAGTATGTCGAAAGGGTTCAACTTTGTTGAATGGTGAGGGCACAAAGTCGTAAACCGTAATAATATAGCTTCTCATCACCGGCCGGATGTAGGACCCTGATTGATCTCTCTGAAGCAGCGCCTGCTCACTGAACAGGAAGGTATCGCTGGCGCAGCCGCTTTTGCAGCAACGCGGGGATCGTGGAGCTCACTGATTTGGATGGTGTCTCGGTTGCAGCTTCACTGTGCGATGGACCCTGACAACTCCCATCGGGAGTTTGCGGCCTAATCAAATCCATTCACATCCACAATACTTGCTAGAATCACTCATTTGAACCCCTTGGCTCCCCTGTTTGCAATCTCATGTCATTGGTTCCAGAGCTTCAAAGCTGCAGGTCTTGTGGCACTTAACAACGATATATCGAAGATACACATCGATGTATAGATAATAGCGTTCCCAGCTAGTTAGTGTGTAAATTAGGACTGGAACCTAGCTTGCCTGGCAAATGGCGAGTCTGATGTGAATTTGATGCTCCCACTGTCACTCACTCTACATATAGCGTCAAATGACATGGCTTCCACAATGTTCGATAATGCAAGTTTCGAAACATGTGTTTCGCGAAGGGAGGATCGCGCACCCTTTGCACACACACACACACACATGAAGGACAAGGGATGCAATGCGTTCCTTTTTTTAAAGACTACTGTATATATGACAATTATTTGTTTTTGTGGTGTCGGGGGAGCACAACAATTAGTTTGCGCTTCAAGAGGAAATCAGATCAAAAGCACAAGGGTGACACATTTTGGGTGTGACATCTGAGACACCCCCTCTTCCTCTCACACAGGACATGAACAGCAGCCGAGGCACGTCTGCTGATGACACCACGGTCGGCCGGCTGAAAGGCCTGGCGCTGAAGGGTGCTGAAGCGCATGAAGTGCCCTTGATCTCGGTGGCCTCAGCGGTGGTGGAGCACTGGGAGGTGCTGCAGGAGCCTGGGCCGGGGCCCGTTAGGCCTATAGGACTCCAGCTAGGTAACTAGCTGAGAAGGTGTTTTGGGATGGGTATGGAGGGGCGAATGGTTTTCTGAGGAGGTACTAAGACGCCACAGATCTATCCCTTGTACTTTCAGATCCTTGAAATCTCATCTGATCTCTTTTTTTTTAGAAGTTGCAGTCCTTTCTTCCCAACTCACAGCTTTTCCTCACGCTTCAGCTTTGCTCCAGGAGCTTCGTGCTTGGCACGTGGGACGCTTTTGCTTGGATGACGGTGTGACGGCGTTTTTTTGTCGTGTGCACTCGGTTGTACCAACAAGCTTTGTCAATTTTTGTCGGGTCTCCAACATACCATCCAGCCCAAGAGTTTGGCGGGATTTGGCGGGTTGAGAGGGAATCCTTTGAGAAGAGCAGCTTAATCAACCCTGGGATTCCTGACGGTGGCTCCCAAAGTGGATGTGGCTGTGCTTGTGGAGCAGCCAGCACAACCATAGAGAAACATGCTTTGAATAATTGAGTGGCACAGGTAAACTTAGTCCCTTCCCATTCCTTCACTATGTGACTATGTGGTATTAGGTTGATCGTCTTAAGAATTAATCTTATTAAGCATTAATTTCATTTCCAATTCCGAACCTACGAAGTTCCGAGGAAGCTTCGCCGCCCACCTGGCCTTGCGGAAGGGTGGGCTGCGCGTGCTTCATGGCGAAAGCTTGGAGGAGGTCCGCCTCAAATACGAGGAGAGGGAAAACGAAGATCTCAGGCTCGCCAGCAAGCGAGCAAAAAGCTAGCGCAGTGAGCGAGCGAGCCCTGAGCCCTGGAAGAGGTACGAGCGGTTACGAGCATGATGGGTGACAGAGATGGTGTCATCTCCGGGAAACAATTGTAACAACTGTAACTAGTGTTTTCGGAACTCACTAGTTTCCATGTTGGGGCTTGCGCCAGGACAGTCCATGGCGACAGCGATTGCTGGTCGATGACACGAATCCGAAAGCTCAGCTTTGCAGTTGTTTTGGTATGTTTTGGTCTTGGTGCTCTGCTTTTCTCTTCCTTTTTCGGGTGTGGAGTGGGACCGGAATGTACTGCGTAGGAGCGGCGACGAAGGATGCGGTCCGCAAGTGTGTGAATCCAAGCGCATATGACTGGTCAACATTTTTCCAGTTGACTATTCAGCAGTTTGGTTCTATATTGGGGGGTTCTATACATTTCTTTACAACAGGACTCAGCGTTTGTTGTTTCAAAGTCATGTCATGCGCCAGCATAGGGTAATGAGTAATGTTCAGTTCCAGTGTATGAAAACTAGACTTAGTACTGTGCATATTGTTACTATAACTTGCATAAAGTTACACACCTGGACACTGTTTTGTAGTGTTCGTGGAACTTAGGCACTTAGATGCCACAACCATTGGTCCATCGAATTGTGTCCACCCAATGCGTCCAACAATTTCCCAACTTGGAAGACCCCAATTGCAATGGTGACCAGGTTTAGATGAGACCTTCCGTGGAACAAATGGCTTAACACCTGTGCTTTAGGTTTCGCAAATCGTCACACTCGACAAGCCACCTGGTGGTGTTCCCCGGTTGAAGGGCGCGAAGGATACAAGGATCGTACTTCAGTAGGTTCCAACGACAGTCTCTCCCTGCTTTTCCATTCTGAAAGCCTGCTTTGTAAGCGTGCTTTGTAACTATACTGGAAACGGTATTGTTGGTATTGAGTACTATATAATTTGATGGAACCTTAGAGTGGGTGCCTTCTTTCCTCCTTTCAGGATAGATCCCTGGCTCGGCGGTGTGAGCTTCCTTTTGGGCAGCAGAGTGAAAGCTACTTTGTGGGACATGGTGGCCCAGCTAAGATCAGAGGTGGCAGGTTGGATGCGATGGCACAGCAGAAGGGCCCCCTGCAAAGTCGAAAAAGAGGGGTAATTGCCCCATGAACCCTCCATGGCAGGGCTTGAAAGAAAGACATAACCGCTGAAGAATCCTTTACTGCAGAGTGAATATGCCTGAGCCTGGCCCATGCTGGCCCATGCAGGTGAAAGGTTTTCCATTGTACACAACATTACGAAACCATCGACCTCTGTCCGACCATGAATTGAGGACGCATCTTGCCATGTCCGCGATCAAAACACCTCCCAGCAGAGCAAGGTCGGCCAGACCGCCTCCTTGGTAGCCGAGCACGGCCTTGATCATTCTCCCGGACCACCTGCGGGTTGCATGTTCGGCTCAGGAAGGCGAAGCTTATATATGAGCCACGGTCAAAACATGCGAAGACCACTTTAGTAAAGAGGGGTAGGTTTGTGCGCAAAACCCTGCAAAACGATAAAGTCCACCTCAAAACCGATAACCCCAGCGCTGTATATGGTCATAAGTATGCGACGAACTCAAAACCCTGTAAAACGATAAGGTCCACCTCAAAACCGATGACGTCCTTTTTTTAGCTGAAGAAGAATAAGGAGTTTTGACCGTCCCTCATATATATAATATATATCTTATATAGCTATAATTAGCTGATTATATAGCTATATACTTAGTTATATACATATATAGCTATATAGTGTAGCCCATTACCAGTAATAGTCAGTAAACGACAATCACTATTTGTGAGAAAAACATTTATATACTAGCGACTAACCATCATCCTCCACTGTTAATTACTGAGACTGATAATGGGATATACTCAAGCTATAGCCATAGAATCGATCCTGATTCTTATTTTGCTTTGGGTCCAGGTCCGCTCGGACGAAGTCCTGATCGCCCCTTGCCGCTCGATCGCAAGGAAGTTTCGTCCGGGTTTGGCGCTCGGAGTGGTAGAGCTTTTCGCAGAGAGTGAGATCCAGGCATACATGCTTGATCGGTGACATGCCCAAATGCCTCAGCCAGTTCCAGAATACCGATGCCTGCATGTGTCTATAAAGTTGGTAATTATTAACTGTAACCGAAAGTGCATGTAGTGGGAGGGTCATGCTTTGTCGTGAGCCCTCCTAGCTCCAAAAGGGCCCCTTTTCTCCCAAAGAGTGGGGTACCTTGCGCTGGAGATATCCAGGCCGCCGTCCAGATGCTGGAACCACAGTGGGCATCGTTTACTTCCCTGAAGGCTGCCTCCAGGTTGCAAGGAAATGGGGTTTGGTGGGCAAAGCAACGTGCAGGTGTGGTTAGTTGCTGACAGCTGCCATTTTAGCAGGGAAGGTGTGAACCAAATCTGACAAGCAAGTTGTGATGCGAGCAAACGGCATGTGTATCAAAAAGAAATTAATTACTGAATCAAAACAAAATTAATTACGTAATCAAAAACAAATTAATTAGCTAATCAAAAAGTAACTATTTTCCTTTCCCGTCTCTTGTATGCTTGCTCCTGGTCCACATGGTCGTCCTGGTCCCCTTGGTCCCCTGGTTCCCTTGGTCCCCTGGTCCTCTTGGTCCCCTGGTCCCCTTGGTCCCCTGGTCCCCTTGGTCCCCTGGTCCTCTTGGTCCCCTGGTCCCCTTGGTCGCCTGGTCCCCTTGGTTCCCTGGTCCCCTTGGTCCCCTGGTCCCCTTGGTCCCTGGTCCCCTGGTCGAAGGGAAGGGAAGGAAGGAAAGAAGGGATCAAGGTAGGAAGTGAGGAAGGCAGGAAGGATGGAAGCAAGGCAGCCGAAGAAACAACGTAACAAAGGAAGGACCACAAGGAAAATGAAGAATAGAATTAAACAACAATAAACAAAAGAACCATCAACCATGTTAATGGAGGTGCATGTTTTTTTTTCTTTGCTTTTGTATTTTTTGATTCTGATTTTGCTGTTTTTTGCGTTTGTTGCTTTTCTGCTTCTGCGTTCTTTTTGCTTTTGTTGCTTTTCTGCTTTTGCTGCTTCTCTGCTTCTGCTGCTTTTTTGCTTTTGTTGCTTTTCTGCTTTTTGTGTTTTTGTCTTTCTGCTCTTTGCTTTTGTTGCTTTTCTGCTTTGGCAGCTGTTCTCCTTTCTCTTTTTGTTTTTGCTTTTTCCATTTGTTTGCTTTGCAGAGAAGAAACCAAACAAGAAAGCAAGCAAGCAAGCAAGCACAAGCTGCTCACCTTTGGATCTGGTGTGCTGCTGGGGGGAGCGCTGCGCCCCCCCCAACCCCGCGCCACGAAATCTGCACTTTATCTCCGACACTCACGCCGGGAACGAAATCAATATTCTATGGTGAACTCCCCGGCGCAAAAACTTCTAACCAACCAAATACGCCTCCTGTGCAAGTTATCTTTCTCTTTGCTCTTTCTCTGCTAACTGCACCAAACTATTGTGATAGGTAGGAATTTCTCTCACACCTACACTATTCCAATGTATTTTGCCAGCTACGACAGCTCCCGAATTAGTCTAATCAACTAGCAACCAATATGAAACCTGCACTATTCTAATGTATTGGGCCGGCTACGACACCTGTGTCTCTGCTAAGGACACGAAATTGCTGTAATTAGCTAGCTCTATCCCAGAGAGCTCGTGGCAGAATAGTTTTTTTTGATTAAGTAATTAGTTTTAATTGATCCCCTCGAATAATATTTTTTGATGCGGTAAATAACCTTTTTTGATACTTCACCCCGAGCAACCAAACAGTTCTTTTCCAAAAGAAAATCGGTCACCTTTGATTTGGACCTCGTGTGGCGCTCCCCGAAGATGGCAACAACGCCTGTGCAGTTTGTATCATTCCTAGCTTAGGCTACTAGGAGCGATCGGACGCTACTAGGGGCTTCTGGGCCTTACTACTATAGGAGCTAAGGACGCAAACATTCCTGGCTTAGGCTACTATTTGCTGCAGAAGTCCACCGCCACCAGGCCTCCCGGCTTCTTTGCCACCCACCATCGCCGACCCGCGCGGGTCTTGGTCCCAAGCTTCCGGGAGCTGGGTGACCATGGCGTGGGCGTGGGTAATGCGCTCTTCACCTTGGCCGCAGCCATGAGCTTGGTGCCTTGGGCCGTTGGCATGCGCAGGATGGTTCGGGTGAGGATGGGACGTGTACATGTTCCAATATCCCTACCCCCTTGAGCTACTTCCCGGAGGGGGGACCTCAAAAAAGTAAGTTACATTTTAGGGTACCCCCCTAGGGGGTCAAAAAATGTAAGTTGCCCCCCCCCCAGGCACCATCGAAACCAGTCAAGGGGGGGGGGGGGGGGGGGGGAAAAAAATGTAACTTGTTGCCTGGCGTGCTTACTTACATTTTTCCAACCCCCCCCGGGGGGTCGGCAGATCGAGGAGGGGGGGGGTCTGGAAAATGTAACTTGGGACCTGGGAGGCCTGAACTTACATTTTTTTTACTCCCCCCCCTAGGGTGCGTTGGCAGATCGAAGATACGCCAATCACTAAGAAATTATTTGCGGGTGGGAGTCACTTAATGACATATTTTCTAAATATAAGTAATTAACTAAAAGTATTATTTGGCAACTGTTTGCTGATGCCTCAACACCAAGGAAAACATAGCCTCCAAAAATGCAGGACCAGGACACAGGCGAAAGGTGAGATTTGCAGACGTCAAACATTGTAACTTACAATTAGTCCACGCATCCAGACCCTCAGATTTTACAGGGAATACATGGGTTCTGTGAGAAAGTTTGACCTCACAAATTGTAACTTACATTTTGGCCACATGCCCAACTCCCCAGAATTTACAAGGAACTGGGGTGTCCCCCTGAGGTACTTACATTTTAGCATACTGAAAAGCACACACGTCCGACCACACGAACCGCAAGCAGGGGGCAAGAAACCAGGGGATCAAACGGCGTTGAATATCCTTGTTCTCCCGCCCAATAGAACAGGCAGCCTCTCCTTTATTGTTCTCCATTATTGTTTATTGTGTATGGAGTGTGATCGTCTGTTATGTTTGGGTTTCGCTTTGTTGCCTTCCTTTGGGGTCTTCAGTGGGAACATGTATGTTCCTGTTTCTTGGCAGTTTGCTTTGGGTGTGCTTCCTGTTCTTCTTTGTTGATGATGGCTCAGACCCACTGCTGTTCCCTCATCTGCTTTGTTTTTGTGTGGCTTGTTGCTGCAGAAGGAGTTGTGTATGGAGTTGTGTCGTGAGCAGAAATTAGTGTGGGGATGGGGGGGGTCTAAAATTGTAAGCGCTCCTCTGTGCCTCAAAAATGTAACTTACATTTTTGAGGTCATTCCCCAGGAAATCACCCATGAGGCCTCAAAAATGTAAGTTACCTTTTTTGAGGCCACCTCAAAGTTAATGTAATTACATTTTTTGAGGCCCTGCGCGCAGGAAAATGTAACTTACAATTTTCGACGCCCCCCCTCAGGATAGGGTAGGGATGTTCCAATGTGTTGGGTTGACCAACTGGTCACCATTTTCTTGGAATGCATGTGTTCAGTAGGGCAATGTTTCTCTTGGCGGTTGTGTGACCTCAGCCACGGGTCTCGCTTGGCTGTGTTCTCTTTTTGATGAGTTGGATTAGAGTTTTTGGGAGTTGGGAGTGGAAGGCTGAATTGGGAGCTAAAGATGTGGGCTTACCATTGTTTCATGTGAGCTTTGATCTTGATTGGCCAGCAATTGTCAGGATCCGGTGCTATTCCCTCTTTCTCAGGTTGGGCGATTTAGCAAAGGCAGCCGTGGAGCACCATGCCGCCCTGAAAGCCACATAATCAGACGGTCCGTATTAGTTTTGGAGGGTTTTGGGGTGATGGGAGTTTGCCGCGTTCCTATTATCTGGAGTGGTTTGAAGGTGAGTTGCAGCTGGTTGCCATGGGCATGTGGGTAATAGGAGTCGACCAGATCGATCCCCACAGTGGTTCGCTGCTTACGCCGTGGTGCGCCTGTTCTACCGACCTGAATGCTGGACTCAGGCTGCGGATCACAACCTGAGCTTCCGCTTGCCGGTGGGATTGACAGGGCCTTTTTGGGTTGGTGGCAGTGGCAGACAGCGGGGTGGTGGCCGAAAGACTTTCCAGGTATTCACATTATGGGTATCAGGTTGGACAGGAGCAATCTGGTGGTGCTTGGTCAGACCTGAGTCGAGTTTTCTTTTTTAAATATGTGTTTGTTCAGATTGGTGTGTGGAACCTGCATCTCAGAGAAAGGTGCAAACCAGGGAACGCCTCGGGTTGGGTGATTTTGGGGTGATTCTTGGGGTCCAAAAATGGGCTTGGAACACACGCGGCCATGGAAGATCAGTGGCTCAACTTGATTCTTGTTCATCGGGGATCTCCAGGGAGCTCTTTTCGGGAGCCGTGGGTGCCAGGTGAGCATCTCCTGGTTCCGCTACTCCGAAGATGGCGGCATTTTTTCGGAGTTGCCCTCATCGTTTTGGTACACCAGGCCAGGGAACAACCCTGGCAATGCCAGTCAAGAGTCGTGTCTTCTTTGAGCTTTGAAGGCGTCAGACGGGCTACGGTTTGAGTGGCAAAATCAAGGAGGAATTTGAGGGAATTGGCAGATGTGAACTGTACTGTAGTGGCGGCATGTTTAGAGGGTGTGAGAGCGAGGTTCTATAAGAATTATATACAATAATATATAAGAGATTTTATTTAATGCAAGTCATTCCTTGAGCAAGATTGTCTGTCATTCACCATATGCATGGCTTTCATGGTGGAACTTAAAGCATTCCTGTGGGCACCACGTGTGGCTTCTGGCACACGCACGCTCTTGAGTTGTATCCTAGCAGCTTCCCATGATGCACCAACAGCCGTGGCAGCTTGAATGACATGGATCAGATCGTCGGCAGCCCTTCGCACATGCGCTACGCGGAGCCACAGGTCCGATCAGATGCTCGAAAGGCCTGCTTCCGGGAGGAAGAGTTTTGCAGGAGTGCTGTTTTTTTGTGCCAACAACACCGGCAGAGATTATGTGAAGGCGATGGAGAGAGAGAGAGAGAGAGTAATTAGCATGTCGGCGCAGAATAACTATGATTTGGATGGACAACAACACTGGCGCATAAATTTTGTAGTTTAAGAGAAAGTTTTGGCTTTCTGTTTTTGTACGGAATGTTTGAGACTTGCATGTGATCGAAGCAGCCATATCAGCCATGGAGCATGGGTTCACCACTCCAACCCCACTGGTTGATGTGGCTCCTCACGGATTCCCTTGTTGATCCTCATCTCTTTCAGGTACTGACACCTTTGGTGCATTTGTCATTTATGTTCCTTCACTGGCCTCAATAGGTTCTTTAAATATGGACCATGGGAATTGCTGAGTGTTGATGCAGTGGTTTATTGGAGGGAGATAGAAATAGAGAGCTCTCAGGAATTTCAATGGCCGCACCTCTGCGAATCAGGTGGTGGTCCATGGATACTTCCAAGAGATCCTTCCACTTGCAGAGCAAATCTTTTCTTTTCTGTTCACCGGATGCGAACGCGCGAACGAACGAACGCTCACTTCATGGGATTTGTGCCGAGTGAGTGCACATGCGTGTACCTCAATGTGTGACACACGGTAAATGGTTTGCAAAGCCTACGGACTCCAAGTGTTGCGTCGGTCCGAATTCGAAAAATGATGTACCTGGTTGAGTTTGCTTTGAGGATCCGCTATTTCCATCATCATTTTCCTGTGCTTACAAGCACCTCGCCTTACGCGGGATTTGTGACTATACAGTGGAGGAGCCGTGGCCACCATGACTGATGAAACAACCCCCCCCAGTCAATACAGGAGCTACATATCTACAGGGAATTATTTTTTATAATGTAGGGCGTAAAGTTTCTTGTCAATTATTTGTCTTCCTCTGCGCAAGCTTCTAGCTGGAGGAGGGGAGGGGGTGCTATTTGTAGCGGCAAACAGCCATTGAGGTATCCTTTTTCCTCCCAGTTTGGACGCGCAGGACACTTGGCTATGATGTGTCCAGTGGATGTATCAAGCACTCTCTTGACTTGAGGGCTCTGGGAGCAAGCTGTTCGAACAATTATGCAGATGACCATGAATAATGAACTATATGTTGTCACAAAAGGTATTGGTGGCCTTAGCTACCTGAGCTCACTGGCTTCAGCAAAACTGAAAAGGGAATGGGACCTGGCTTCACCTTTGATCATTGGAGATTGATTCAACTTGTTTGGGGCAGGGTCACCCCCGATCAGATTCTCCTGGTTCACTTTGTCTTGGTGAGTTGTTTGGGTCGGGAGCTTCAAGTTGCGCCTGTCGGAGAGCTAGTCCTCTCCGTCTTTGTCAAAGTTGCACAACCTTCAAGAACCTAGCTGCACGCCAAACATGCATGAATACTCAGTGGAGCAACTGGCCAGCCAGATTGGCTACATGGCATCCTAAGAGGATGCAAGCAAACCGTTGTGCTACATTTCACTTGCCGCCATGTGCCTTAAGGGCCTTACTCTTCATTTATTTGTTGTACTTTTGACATGCTTGCCACCAAACCATTCCAATCTCCTGATCTTCTAACAGAATCTTTCGTCACAACTCTTTCGGACGATTTTCTCGACACCAAGAGGCAAATGCACATGGTTCTAGTATGTTTCATTGAGGTTTATTGTTGTGCCACAATGAGAATTGTAATGTAGACATCACTACTATTCTGACCAGGTCACCCCATCAGCCCAATCGTTGACTCCATCGACAGTTGCTAGGTTGGAGCATGTCCAAAACTATCCTTCCGGCCTCATTTCTGGGATCCATCGACTGGTTGACCTGATTCTATGGCTGCGGGTCGTGGATCAGTCAAAACCTTGAGCCCCACCATGTAGCGAACGACCTCCCAGGTAGGCCAGCCGAGGACCCACAGCCATAGAGGAGCACCAATATACAATTGGATAATGGAAAATGAATTAAAATGATAGAAAAGCCAATCCCCTCCAACATCCTCCAACTATGTATCGGACACCGCTTTCGATTTTTTGAGTGAATATGACAGGCAATATCGGGAACCTTCGGAGTCTCCAGGCGAGAAGTGCTTGGAGCTCCCGGCAGCCACGCATGCCGCAAAGAACGCACACAGAGGCAGCAGCGACAAATCTCATGCGCGCCATTTTGAAAACGGTTAGGAATGTGCAGCTCACTGGAGCAAACTTCGCGATGTGAAGACAATGTTGTGATTTGTGTGTGTAATTGGTTTAACCTGAGCCATCATCTTTTTGGTCAGCATGATTTTAAAGTCAATACAGTACTGTTTTGTGGATGTGTTTTTACTCGTTTGAGGTCTGTCCCGAACAACCGTGTTCCAATGAACATCAAGAGCGGAGTAGTTCATGTTATCATGTTAGCCAGTGTTACTTAGCATTTGGTTCACAATCGTTGCCTTCACATGTGAAGCATCGTGCGTGTCACATTCTAACATCTAGTAGACGGAGACCGACTTGGGTCACTGTTGGTATATAGCTTGGAGTGCCTGCAAAGTAGATGTGGATGATGCTGGACATTTCGATGGGACACAATTATTACTTTGGGGCGACAGCTTGAGATAAACATGTGATTACCCTTAGTTTCTGTGGCGAAGCAGCCTTGTCCTGGTGGAATCTTGATCAACCACATAGGACGAAGCCCACTGCCATGCTGCCGGCATGACAGGCCATCCAGCACCTAGCTGTACATGTGCCTGGCAATTGCTGAAGCAAAGTATTTGGATGTATTTGGATTGGGGCTGTGGTGCATTGGGGTGCCGTTCTTCTAAGCGATTACCTGGCTACCTTTCATATTGGATTTTTGAGTTCGTTTGTGTAAAAGGGCATATAGGACATTTTTGCATGGATGTATATAGCTAGTTATATACCGTGTATCCGTGAGTGGCTGGTGTGGTCACTTCAAAGAGGCAACATTGTTTATCACTGACGCCCGATGGCCATATGGTTTGGGCTGCACCAGATCCATCCACCTGTTTCTACTGTTTGGCTAGCTGCAACCTCAAGAAGCCATTCGGAGTGTTTGGTGACGTCAGTCGCCTCTAAATTGCCTTGTCATATCACACCCAAGGAAAAATGTGAAGAAAAGAGATGAAAAGAGGCAAGGGAAGTCCAGATACACTGAGTTTTCGGACTTCGGGGTAGGCATAATATTACTTGCCACCAGAGGTTCTGAATTTACTCGTTCATCAACTGTTTTTTTGTTGTGCGGATTTCAGCTGTTCCGGCATTTTTTGCAAGAACCAATCATTTCCCCACAGTTTGGACCCGCGCAGGCTATGAGCGAGCGAAAGTACAAGTCGGGGGTGTCTTAGACCAGAGATCTCCGCAAGCAACGGTATCTGACCCCGCTTGATGAGGCCCTTCATGTTTTGAGACCAATATACCAATCCACACCATTCCATGTGTATCAAGTTTGGAAGCACAGCGCTCCAACCAACTCAGGTGAGATTCAATCACGGTGGGCGTTTGAGCACATCTTATTTCCAAGAGGCCATTCGCATCGCCAAAGAGCAACTGTCCATTGCGCGGATGGGCTGCGTCTTCTTCACCAATGAGCCAAAGAAGCCGCTTGTCCATCGAACTGGTATGAACTAGTGGTCAGCGTTCTGCTTTTTGATGTAGTCTCACGTTGTCCATCAAGTCGGGGTGTTTCAGGTTTCAAGATTGTCGTGACCGGTTTTCATATTCTGCCACTTGTGAAGATAGTCTTTCAGCATTAGTCCGTGAGGTCATGTTGATCATTTCATTTGGAGAAGTGACTCTGTGATGGTTGCACCTTTGATAAGTAGTGAAAGGTAAAAGTTAATGTGTGACAACTATTGCGCCTGTTTTTATCCAAACTGCACACTGGCACTAATGAAATGCAGCTTAGCCCCGGCAGTATGGCAGTAGGGTCAGTTCGCGATATGTTCATAAGCCATAAGCTTCAGCCATCACAAAGCCTGGGTCCGTCGATATTCCCTCACGTCAAGGGGCTAAAGCTTTATCCAAAAAGCAAAACTCTGCTCAAGTACAGAGGCACCCCAGTGGGCACCTGAGTCAATCCAAGCTCAGGCTTCAGAGGCGCTGGAAGACAAAGGTCTGTGGCAAGGATCATGCAGCTTGGCGTCGTTGAGCCCCGGTTGATCTAGTCCTTTTCACATGGAGCATGAAATGCAAGTACATAGGACATAGGCTGTCATTTGTTTGTTAGCAGTTAGCATCTCAAGTCCTCTCTAGCCTGTGGGAGAGCTTTTCCTGCAGCTCCACTGCAGAGAGAAGAGTGTTGCCAGGATGGCCACCTTCGCTAGATCTGGGAGATACAGTGTATATAGGTCGTCGATGGGCATGATCATCACCGTGGGTCACCAGCTATGAGGCTTATTGAGGCCCCATCACTATTCATCATTTTCTTGTGGCTTCATGGCTTTTGAATGCCGACCTGCAGATGTTCGGTGTTCACACGTGCCCACCGCCCTATGTCAAGGAACAGTCGGCAGAGCCTGATTTGGAGTTGGCCGACGTTTGTGCCACGAGTTTGGAAATGTTCAGGGATTGTATGTCAATGTATTTCAGCCAATGCCGTCGACGTTGATTCTCCGACCAAGGCAACCTTCAACGACCTGAGCTTGCGCGATGATGTGGTCTTGGCGGTGATGGCCATTTGCTGCGCAGGCATCGTGCTGAGCAATTCGACCTTCAGCTGCTTGACTCAAAATTGGATATATAGTATAGGCATGTATAGGCGTCCATCCCCGAGACCTTTGGATTTACTACTTCAATTAGATTGATTGCTGACGATTACTGTCACTAGTTATTTGTTTCCACGTTTTCCTGAGTCTTTTGATGGATCACACGGCCGGTTCTCAACCTTCTGATGGGCTTGCTAAGTTTGTTTCCCGAAAATGCCTTGCTGTTGAATGCTTGTCTAACTCATTTGACTTTGAAACTGGTTGGTCTAAAGTTCAAGCAATTTCCGTGGAGTGGGCTGCATCTAGAACCTTTCTTTCAAGAGACCCCTCCCAGCGGGAAGGATGCCTCCCCGCATTTTTCGCATGAGCAACTCTCTAGTTCCAAAGCGAAGCATTAGTTAATATTGTGTGTTCCTTTCTTTCCTGGAAAGTTGTGGTACCAGGGTTGACCATTTGCATAGTAACTATATTTGCACTGTGACGACATAAATCCAACGACTTCCTGCATGCAGGCTGGTGGGCTGCCATTTTTGGGGGCTACAAGGTGGGCGTTGGAGGGATTGGGCGAGTTTAGAACCATTCTCATAGTCACGCAGTGCTGGAAGGTGGAGTGCCTGCTTGTCTTATTGGATGGTTATAAGTTATCATTTACTGTACTTCATTTTGGGGAGGGGTAGATGTTCTGTGCGAGGCTCGTGGGCTTCAATTTCGGATATATACCTACAACGCACCCACAACGGGAGGCAGGAGGGGTGTTATACAATCCATCGGTAGGACATGTTGTTTTCACCAATGTCACCACAGCCTCCAGACCCGACCAAAGTCCCGACCTCCGACCAGGTTGTGCTGGCGCCGGAGATGTCTGGAGACGGGAGCTTGGGACTGCAGATCTCTCCATGGGGGGCGGGGTTGGTGGAGCTGTGGTGGAGTTGTGGATAGTTTTGGGCCTTTGGAGCAAGCATAGTTTTCGAAAAAATTACCCCTGTTGGTTTGAAACACCACTGTAGACAGAACCCAGATTTTGGGTAGGTTGGTCGAAGATCAAGCTTTGCCGGCCGAAGTTCTCGAAATACTGATGGGATCTGATGGGGATGTTTGGAACTTGGGCTGTTTCAGGATCTCATGGCTTCGAGTGGGGACTGATGGGAGCATTTGCCAAGCTGTCAGGCTGCAAACCAAGCAAAAGATGCAAAAGCTGAAGGCCATGCCAGGTATAAATACTGTGGCACTTCTCAAGACCTTATTGGATCAGTATAAGTAGAATTCCGCCGACTGTAAACATTTCTTGCCGTTGGCCAAATCCCATTTCGCACATGGAGCCCCAAGTAACCACGTCGTCTCTTGCCCAGGGACTAGTCCACGGGCGAGAAACTTCGGACGATGCTGAGGCCCTTTCGACTGGGGCGTGCCGCTGGTTGGACCCAGATCGGACCAAAAGGGGTGCAGCGGTGGATTTTTTGCGCCACGTGATTCTGCGCCTGCGAGCATGTCAACGTGAAGATTTGCGGCAACAAACATGTATATATAACCATTGTAAACTTGTGGCATTGTGGCATTGCACTTTCGCAAAGAACAATGGGACATGGGACACCTTGCAGGGGTGCAGCCGTAAGTGGCTGTTGCCATATTGGCACATTATGGCACTACATAAAAGACATCTCTATGCGGCTCAAAGTCCAGCCGTCTTTTTTGGCAACGGGGGAGATCATGTGCGTCAGTTGGGGCCAGGTTCATCCATTTGTGGGAGTTACCTGAACGATGCTCAGGGTTAGACAACGGTGATGTGGGCCTCTCCCCACTATTGGATGCCAGCTTGCGAATTTTGATTGATGTCTTGGGTGGCTTTGCAAGCAGCCATTCTCACGCATGTTGGATTTTTTCACAGGAGGGGCAACTAACCGTAAATAACCTGCTTGACTTGAGCTTGGAATGTCGTTGACCCCATGCACGGCATTCATTCCCGGCCACCTCCCCTTGCAGCCTGCGCGACACTCGTGCACGTCTCACACGTGGCCGAAAACCGCTGCGGTTGCGGTGCTGATTGCACCGCGCACGCGCTCGGTGCGCGGCTGGAAACAGCGGGCTTTTCTGCGGAGCGGGGTCGTCTCCCAAGCGCCAGAGCTCCTGGAGGCAGAAAGCGAAGAAGAGAGGCGGGATTGGTGCAACATGATGTAGCATGTGTATTGCACATCGGTTCCTTTGATTAAAGAACTTTTGCGGTCCAGGCTATGCAGGGGTGCAGTCGAAAGTTTGCATCTTTTGACGCACCATCCGTGCGAATCAGGTTGAGGGATGTCCCATAATTGTGCAGGCTGCAGCGAATGCTGCTGGACTTGGGGGAGTTCGAGTTGCTGGAAGGCTCTTCATCTGAGCTCTTACAGACGCTTGGGATGAACAGAAATGATCAAGATGAAGGGTCACAATTGAACACTTGCGGCATACATTATTTTGCTCTACACGCCACATCTTTGTCGTCAGCTTTGCATGGATTCCTAATCACCGGACCAATCTCAGGAGAGCTTTCACCAGCCTCCGCAACACCAAGGGCGGTAAGGAGGCCAAGGAGCGCCTTCCAAGCAGCTCGGAGCTGCTCGGGCTTTTTGCCAGCGCAGTGCTGCAAGATCCCAGCAACGTGGAGGCCATCTTTGGGATGGGTGCCCTGGCTCATCCTGGATGCCTGGCGGGTTCGGCGAGGGATGCTCCGGACTAGCCCTTTCTATTTTTTCCACCTTCGACGTTTGCGTCGCCAAGGCAGCTGGTTCAAAGTCAACTGTGACCTCTTCAGCACGAACCGCGGTCGCTAATTCTATGGCTCTCTATCTTAAAAGGCTTGTTTGGTGCTTACTGAAGTCTATACAGTGAACCGGCAGTATGAATCATCAGGATAGGCTGTGCCACACTCGCCTTTTGCCCACGGGTCTGATTTGCTGCGCTGTGCCACGTCGCTGGCAAGGTGTTTTCCTGGAAGTGTCACATCGCCCCATGGAGATGCATCTTGGATCTGGAAGACGTGTTCGGAACGGGGGCGATTCCTCACCTGTGGAGATCCGACTCAAGAGGTTCGACGTGTGTGACGGGTTGGAGCTCCGGGGCCCTCGCTGTGAAAGCCGGGGCACCCGGTGACGGGTAGTTGCTGTTCACCGCATGGCCACGCCATTGTTACCCAATGTTACCCAGCACATTATGCTAATCACTTCATTGGGATTCAGGCTATGTTTGTTGGGCTTTAGTCGTCACATTCCAACACTGCCTTACTGATCATAATGTGATTAATAATATTAATATGTAGAATTTGAGTGGGCTTGACTAAATATACCTCTCCGAAGGAGATCTGCGGTTGTTCTGGAAGATCCCACACTGAACACATCAGAGCTCATGGGTGTTTGTGCTAGAGGCCTCACTCCAAAAACATCCTCATGCAGCATGAGGGTGAAACATCCGTGTTGATTCTCAAAGTGTATCTGACATATTGTCAGCATAGGGATGCCCACATCCCAACCAATATGCTATGATTATATTTATATATTATAGGTTATAAGTTACAAGATGTTCCTCCCAAGTTATAAGGGAACGCCTCTCCCCAGCCTAACGTTTTCATTGTTGAGATACACATTGCCTCTGAAAAGAATCATGTTCCAGAGGCCGGACCGTTCGACTTGGATGGTGTGAGGAAGCGTGACTCAGCGACACACACACACACACGCACAGACACTATTTAAGTCACACACACACAGTCACACAATTTGCCGTTGTTCTCAGGCTGCGCTGGATGGACCTAGTTTTAGAGCTCCAGCCGAAGCACCTGGGCGCATGGGAGGCGCGCTCCCGCGCTCAGGAGCACCGTGGGCGGCTTTCAGAGGCCGGGTAGGTGGGACGCACGGTGGACGTGAGAGCACGGAAAACCATTGCGCCACCCCGAAACGAACGGTTTTCCATGGCATTTTTTTTTGCTCATTCCTTGAACGAGCATCTCCAAATTTCTCCAACTGTAGGGCAATGAATGTGTTAGAGTTTAAAGTACTCAGAGCTTTCCCAAGCATCGTCCGAGGGTGCCGGCAGCATTTGGATAGTGATCCTAATGATTGGCAGAGGTCCATCCGATGGTCCATCCGATGGTCCTTAAGATGGTTTGAACTTGAAGCTCCCAGCTGGGTGGTTTCTTTCGTGCGGACCCTCCAACTCTACAGACTGCAGCACGCTCCGTGCTTCCCTGTTCTTCATTCCACTCAGTTTCCACCGGTAACCCTAGACTAGTGGGTTTCACCTGGGAACACCCCAGTTGCGTGGCTCTAACGGCGAGGCCTTGGCGGGCTATCGGCAGTTGGCGTCTCTGGACACCGCCCGGACGCGGCCCCGCGATGCCTTGCTGGAACATCAGCAGGCGGAACATTATCATGTCGGGGGAACATGCGAAGGCTGACTCATTTCATGGGAGAGAACTGAGAGAACAGGAAAAACACATACACTTCTTGAAGTGACAGAGTGCTTGGACGAACTCTACGACCATTGTTTGGAGAAGTCTATGGATTGAATCCGTGTTCGAACACCTATGCTAATTAACCTACTATTGTCGCAGGCCGGACATCAACTTTCAGCTTCAACAGTCTGAACTTCTACACCCTTGAACCTTTGGGAAGATTTTTTTGTGTCCACTCCTTCCCATTCCAAGCTTTCGGCCTTCAGGTCTATGTGCTACCTATGGAGGTTTGGAGCGAGGGAGTGGCTGAAGACTTGCAGGTGGCGGCCAAGCACCCAAGCTGCGCTTTGGCTCCTGAAACGAAGGAAGACTGAAGATGGTCTAACCAGGATGCATGGAATTTGACTAACGAACTAACTAACTAACTGTCTAACTCCCTACCTCCCTACCTACCTCCCTACCTCCCTACCTCCCTACCTCCCTACCTACCTACCTACTTATATTTATAGTGTTTTTCTTGGGGGGTCGTGGGAGACTTGTGTTTTGACCTCATCTAAAATTCGAAGCCGCGTACGCTCTTGCGATTAACTAGTGAGTTCCTGTTTTGCACCCAAGATCCATCAAGACCCCCAAAGATAACTCGCTCCAATCTTGGTCAGAAGTGCTTTGCTTCTTTGCATTTCAGGCATGTTGACAGGGAATGGCAAGAGAGACTTGTTTGCACTTGGCTGTTGTGGACCTCACCCCCCCATAAGTGGAGGCTGGCCAAGCATTCTCAGTTTCATTAATGGGACCAGTCGTAACATGTTGTAGTGCTGCCATGGCATGGGCCAGAGCCATGCTATACTGGACACAAGGAGGTCCACCACACCTTCGACTGAGGAATGCCTACGATCCGCCGCGGGACATAGCTTCAGATCGAAGCTTTTCGGTGATGGCCTGGGATGATGTGCTTTGCGAGGAATTGCTGAGGCAAGGTGTGCCCAACTAATGCTCCCCCGATCTCCCCCGTCCTCGAGATCTAAGAAATGGATGGAGAGGATCAAGAAGATGGCATGCTTTCGTGGATTGAAACCCTTCACTTCACCTCAATTGTCGGAGTTCCTGCAGAGTCACATAGATGGGCGTGTGTGATGATGTTGCATTCAATGACCATAACCGGCTATTCGACATAATTTACGATACTGAACCCTCAGGATGTTAGCTGTAAACTCATGTCCAACGTCGCGCTAGAAATCGAGGAACAAGGGGCAGCCTCTTAACTACATGCTCATACTGTTAGCACAGGCATCTGGAGGAATCGGTGAAGGACCATTTTGAATACATCTTCACGAACCGGCATGTGTTTGGAGCCGACGAAGATCATCAGGGTCCGGCGGCGAACATGTCGCTTTGGCTGGAAGGGTGATAGCCCAGCGATGGTCGCATCAGCGCATGGCCGGAGGGTTGAAGATTTGAGGTGTGAAAGAACCAATGATAAAACTTCGGTAGCTTTTCTTGCCCCAGCGGAGCCAAAATTCAGTCAATCACCAAAGGCTCTTCTACTGTAATTAATTCTAGACCACCCTTAAGAAAGCGCAGCAGTAGAATTCCAAGGACATTACTTTGCCTTGGGAAGTGCAATGAGACGGCCTTGTTTGGAGAACCGATCCCAACACAATTCAAATCGGCGATGTGCACTAGGAACATGGGAAGAGTTCATCAGTGGTGTTTGAGATTGAGGGGTTGCACGCTGAAAAGGGGTGGCATGACCCATGTGGTCCTTGTGATCCCTTCTTGGGCTGGGAGCGATGACTCAGGAGGGGAAGCTTCATTTTGGTGAACTACCAGGGTGCTCCGCTGTAGTTAAAGACAGGTCACCAGGGCATTTATTGGTTGGTTTGGTTGGTTTGCATGTGGGTTGGTTTGGTTCAGTTTGTCTATTTGTTTGTTTGTTTTGGTTGGTTGGCTAAGCTTGACTTGGCTGGTTGGTTGATGGTTGTTTTCCTTTTCTTGTTGGTCTTATGCTCTTGTGGTTGTGGCGTGCAGGCCAGGCTGAATGTTCCGAGTTATCGAGGTGGCTGCCATCGCAGAGGGCCCCATCCAACGCCGCAGAAGTAGCAGCCCGAAGCATCCTGCGACACCTCCTGAAGGCCTTTGGGAGAAGACATGAGAAGACCAGTGTTTCAGGCTTTAGACAGCTTTAGATGGCTTTAGGGCCATTGCGTACCTTGGAAGTGTGACAGTCTCCATGCCATGGTCTACACTCTGAGTGGGCTAGCACCCTGCAGAACATTTGTCCTGGAGCGGCCATTCGCTCTGTTAGCCCTGTGGGGTATTATTTTGGCAGACTGGCACTGCAGGGGCAAAAGCATCCAGCAACCTAAACATCTCCAGGAGGAGATCACTGAGTTTGCTGGCGTGGAGTATTGGGCGCGGGTGCGCTCCTTCAACCTGGGTGCTCGGTTCCACTATGATGCAGATGTGGATGCAGAGGACGAGTTGGGAAGATCTCAATAGCACACGCGCACACACGATATATATATATATATATACTATTTTTTTAAAACTGCACATATGGATGCGAAACGTAATTAACATGCTATGACAATAGCATGACAGTGATATTTTGGTCCATTTGGCGGTGCTTGCATCCGAAAATAACATAAGAGCTTAACAAGACTGGTTGAGGGATCCTTCTTCACCAAACCCCCGCCCCCAAGAAAGTGAGTTATTTGAGCAGGACCTCCCCCCTCCTTAGGGAAGGGATGATACTTTTCCTCAGCCAGATGGTGCGATATAAGTCCTCGCAACCTAAATCTACACGATAAGCATACTGTGTATTTTTTCGTGAGGCAATATTGTCATGACGCGAGGCAAATAGCCGGACATAAGTGATGAAACTCATCCGTGATTATAAAGAGGTTCCTTTGAAGTTGGTGGGCTTTGTCCAGACCACACCGGCGACCGCCGTTTCAGAGTGCCCGGCACAAAGGATTCCAAAGGATCCAAAAGGTCGTCACAAAGGCAATCAGCAGTCTCCGAGCACAAATGACCGTTGACCAGATCGGATTTCAAGACAATCAATCCGATGTTTACGTTGTTTTGAGAAAGCAGATGACAGCAGCACCGGACCCTCTTCCAGGAGCGTGAATGGGTCCAGGGCAACCCCTGGCGCCCCTGGACGTCCTGCGTTTTTTACCTCACGACTGGTGGGCCCACGGTGGTCCTGGAGCAAGTCCTCTCACCTGAAGGCGTGAGCTGAACCTTCGCCCGCGCCCGATGTTGGGAGACAATCTCGTCCTCAGCCTGAAGGGGTGTCCTTTGCGGACTGCTTCCACATGTGAGAATCAGACTGCTTGATTGTTAGCTCATCTTAGCTCACCTCCGCTCACTCCAATCCAAATTCTGGGTGAACTTGCCAGGGCATCTCACGCCGTCCTTGCCTGCGTGTGGCCACCTTTGTGTGCCCAAGCGGAACCGGCTGCTGGTGATGCGAGGCGATCTGTTTCACGGTTCGCTGCCGGTGAAGGTGTGGCCACTGGGCGGCTGAAGTCTCAGTGAGACGGTGGAGTTTTGATGGGTAACAAGAAGCTACAGAAATAGAAGCTACTAGGTTGGAGGCCATCGCTCTCAGGTCGGAGGCCATCGCTCTTAGGTTGGAGGCCATTGACATCGGACACGCTTTAGACGGGGAGTCCCCGTTGTGGAGTCTGAACATTTTTAAGTACTGTAGCTCAGCCCCCGGTGCAGACAAAATGGTTGGCAATTGCGCTTTTTGGGGAGGGAGATCGCGATCATGTTGAACATCGATGAGCCAACTCTTTCCAACACATGATTCCCTGCACACCTGCGATTTTAACGCCATGCACTGTCACTGTTTGAGGTTTCAAAGTTTTGCCATTAGGGGGAACATGGGGGAACATTTTTGGACCTGAAGCTGCACTCAAGACCGAGTTTTCCGTCTACAAACCGGGCGCCCGGTATGTAGATCCGTTTCTTCGGAAGACACGGAGTCGCGAATTGTCATGGATCCGAGTGCTGTGTGAGGTTAGACAGCGACGAGTCGCGGAAAGTCTTTATTTTCAACTTCTGGCGCCGGCATCGCCCCACAGCACCCAGTTGTCAAGAACCATGTCTTGCTCGACATGTGGCCATGCAGCCACACCTCTTGCAGGAGGGACATGGAGGTGGTCATGGCCTTTTGGACATGTGGATGTGGACATGATTTATGGATTGATATGGCACTGTGCACGGCATATGAAACACATACCCTCCCTCCAAGATCGCATGGGAGATTGATCAGTCAAGACAATGTCGAAGCCTTCGCCTGAGGACTCCGAGGTTCAGAACCTTGAGAAGTTGATGGAACTGCATTACCAAGACCTGCGGGAAACGCCTTTGCGGCCTCAGATGCTTGGCTTCAGTGAGGCTTGGTGTGGAGCTGGCTCAAAACGCAAACCATCGCCACAAACTTGCTGATCATGTGGGTCATGCGTGTCGATCCCCCAATCTCCCAACAGTGAGGTCAGCCGGGCTGACTTTTTGCACAGCATGTGGTTCCTTGTATTTGAGATCGTGCATGCCCCAACTATCCCCGACTACGGGCTTGAAAGACTACCTTTGTATTGCTTTACAGGTCATGCATTTCGGAGCAGCAGCTTGTCAAAACAAGACCTCGCAAAGCAGGGGGCAGATGTTCAAGACCCACACATGGACAATAAAATTGTGCCATCACTCTCGCCTTGGTTGAGCGTATTACGGGCCAGGTCATGACTGCTATCCAATTCCAATGTGACCTCAAACTGCACTCAGATCTGAGCCCTGGCCAGTCCCAAGATTGCACACCCATTTTCTCCTTTCGGATCTCATTCTGAAATCCGATCTCAGGATTTTGGCAAGACCTGAGGATCTTCCGCACTCCTCAGACTTTGGCGTCTTGGTGACGTGCAGCCGCGGAATGCCGCGGGAGCTTTCACATATGTAGAGTCAGAGCAATGTAGAGGAGCTCTCAGGCGCTCTCGGCCACCTCCTTTTTGGATCTTTTTGGCAGCTTTACCAGGGCCTTCTATTTCCAACTGTTTTGGCTCTTCGATCTATTTTGATGATTACTAAGTCAATAGACTTGCATCTTCAAGGATTTGTTGGAGTTGCAGCAGCTGGAATACAGTTTGGTGGTTGAACAAAGGCCAAGTGCCCCAAAAGTCTCAAAACATCGTGTCACTCCCATCAACCCATGCTATTGTGACATCAGGGTTGAGGAAAAGCCGTATTGTTTGAACGCTCCAAGACATAAGCCCAAGCCATGGGAATCACATAAAAGGCTGGCTTGCTTCCCTCAAGCCATGTTCTATTCCGATCCAACATCTCTCAAACGACGCAGAATAGAGTCGGATACAGTAGTAGAGCCTTTGACTGCTCCCTGAGGCTATTTGCCCGTGCTTCTGCCCATGCCAAGCATGGAACAAGTTTGTGCTGAAGGAGGCTTCTATCGTTTGGACTGGTTGCGTGCAGCTGAAAAGTTCGGACCGCAGCCGCAGCGGTGGATGGTGTTTTTCGCTGGGAGAAGTGGCAACTGACTGAGGGTTGATATCTCAAATTGCTGGAACCTCCAACTCTCAACTTATCAAAATCTAGAAGGGAAGCTCGGGAAGCTCCACTCTTTATCACGAGCTCTCCGAGATACACCGAGCTCAAAGAGCAGGACTAGAATCCTTTTGCCGGTGTTGCTTTGGCTAGTGTGGAAGCAAGAGTTGCCTTTGTACAACCATGAGGCGTGTGAACCTCAATGGCCGCTTCAACTAGCAACTCGCACCCTGCTTGATGAAAGTGGCTCTTCAATTCAGCATCCCATGGCAATGAAAGCGTGTCTAAAGTTAACTTGAAGGGTTTAGGAAGAGCACGTTTCTAACACTCCTGCAAACCTAAGTAGACCGGGAACCGAAGGAAACACCAAGGCCCTTCTTCAATGCAAATCAATGACCTATTGCTTCGTGTCACATGGGTTATAGGCACACCTGAGTCAACCGGGCGGCCTTAATCTCACGGTCACACGTTGCGCCCCCGCTGTGCCGGGTAGATAAGAGTTGATGATGCATGAACGCCATGAAACTTGCAAATACATCATGGAGCAACCAGCGGTTTTTCATTGACGATGCCTTTTCAACATGACATGTGCTTCGCTGTTGTGCTTCACTTTTTTGTAGCAAGATGTGCAAGTGCTCCAGGAATAGTCCCCGTCCAACCCCTGTCTAATGTGAAGAAAGCTTGCACAGGGCATGCTGGAGTCCACCCCAGAAGGATGAGTTTTGCTCAAAAAGGATTGGTGAGTTTTTGAGCAAGGATCACACCCCTAGCCGGGCACTAGAGCAACCTCGGGGGGTTTGTTCAAGCTGGTCATGAGCTGTGGGCAATGCTGTGGCGCTGGCTGCCGGTACCATGGCCGGCATGGGTCCCGAAGCTGTGCAGGATGTCAGGCCGCTCTCGGAATCGGCACGCGGAGACGAACCGACCTACGAATCCGGACAGCCACGGGCTGGAATGGATGGACACAGGACATTTTGTGATTGGTTTTGATCCAGTCAGTGGTGTTTTGAGGCATCGCTCACGGTGGTGTCTCAAAAGAGGGAGACCACATGAGACCACCCAGAAAAAGTGAAGAACCCTTCAAAGTCCCACATCCTTTTCGGTGGTGGCGGCTGCTAGCTCAAGATGCGGCGCCATGGAAGCTTGGGACCTGAACAAACATCATAGTTGCAGCAAACATCCAAGTCACTGGTCATGTTGCGGGCTATAAGCACACAAGTTGGCTGGAAAAGGTTCCACAGTATACTTGTTCCAGGTGCCTTGTCCAGCCTCCAAAATTAATAAATCCCGTCAGGCGGCCGCAGATGTGGCAATCGCTCACGGGCGCATCCCTCGCTGCGCTCAGTGCGGCCAGCGTGACCCCAGCGGTCGCGTGGACGAGCGGCAGACGCGGCAGTTCTACTGTGGCAGTTGTTGGGCTCAGTATGAGAACGATCGGCTGACAGAGTCTGGGACATACATGGCTCATGGCTTCGGGAAGGAGTCGGAAAGAGAGTTTGGGGATGCCCCAAATACTCAACTCAAACCACGATATGTGTCTCAGTGGTGAAAGACTTGCAGTCCTTTGCTTGGTGAACTGGAAGGGACCTGCTTGAAACATCTTGAAACATATATAATGAGATGCTAGTAATTACAAGTGCCTCGCTAGTAGTAACAAGTGCCTTACTAGTAGTAACAAGAAGCTATTTAATTTAATTCTAATTGTTACCAATCAACAGGAAGGGGCACTGAGACGTCGCTCGATAGCTGAGGGTAGCGGGGAGCATCGTCGCCTTTCTCCCGTCGACGCGTTGCCGAGGAGTACTTCGACTCTGAGGCCGAGCTACGAGCCAAGTGCCAGCGGCTTGCAGTATCTTGACTGGATGAGAGCCTACCTCATTGACTGGATGCGATGACCAGACGTGGGACCTATTTCCAGGAGAGCCCAGAGCGCCGGCTGGGCGGCTGTTGTTTCTAGTGGACGGACGGTCCGATGGAGAAAATGGATTTCAGAAAGTAAGACATACAGCAAGGGAAATCCATCGATGAGAGTGACGACAGTAGGAGTTCTAGGGATTTAAGTTCATGGCCCCCTAAGATTGAAAAGACACACCTGTGGGAAGGGAGATGGAGGTCAGCCGACAGAGTGGCAAGCTTTAGGATGTGGGAAGATCGTCAAAGCACCTTGTCAGAGTGATGAGTTCAGGCGGATTTACGCACGACTCCGACGACTGATCTTATGTTGAGCACATCCATCCACCATTGTGGAGAGAAAGAGGTTGGTATGACATCCACGTCAGGACTCTTGGCTCAAATCCCAAGTGGTGGTTTGATGGGGACTGGCTGGGACTGGCCAAAACCAGTCTTGTGGATTTGAGCCGAAGAAGTTCTGAGGGACCTGAGGGAGGGCCCCATGCGGCATACTTCTTACCCTTGCTCACTTAGCCATCCAACACACAAACACACTCAAAGAAAGAAGTGCACCCTCACCTCACAGAAGGAAACAGAGCCCTTACCTCAAACAAACACTTCTATTCTACAAAGGGTTTTGCCTACAGGGCCTACAGAACTTGCACAACTTTCCTACATCACTGTGGTGGGCGGAAGGGGGCACCCAGGACCTCATCTCAAATGCTCGTCACCTTATTGCCTTCACCGGCGCTGGCATCTCGACCGGCGCCGGCATCGCAGACTTCCGGAGTGGCATCAACACCTCCTTGCCCACGGGGCCGGGGCTTTGGGAACGGCCCAAATCAGCATCTCCCAGTGGCCTGACAGAGTTGGCAGACTCATCGCTGACCTGGTGGAGAGTTGGAGAAGGATGATATACGTATAAGATATTGATGAACAAAAAGGTAATTAGGTAATGATAAGATATGATAAGTGTTGGTTAAAGGAGCAAGTCATCCATCCAAGACCGTGACACTTGCAGTACTGTGCAGCCAACCCTTTTTGTATGATCTTGCACGTGTGCCAGTGTAACTCTTCAGAAACGAAGCCTTGACTACTCAAAGTCACCGAGAGAGCTTGAAGTAGGTCACAGTAGGTCAGACAAACCTTCAGATATGAGCAACTCACTGTACTGTACCTTGAAGCTGCTGTATTGGACGATGTTATTGAACCATCCCATTTGCTATCATGCTTTTGAAGGCAATCTCCTCGAGCAGTGTGCCCAAGCCGAACCTGGCCCAACTCACCGGGTGTTGCAGCGCCTTTGGAAGGGTGGCCTTTTGAAGTGCCTTGACCGGCACCAGATGGGCGCCCGTCCGTGTGGAGGGACGAGCCGATGGCGGCCGACAGCAGCAACCAGAGGATGAGGTGCTTCCCTGAAGAGACCAGTTTCTTCGTAGGTCTTTTGGTCAAGTTCTTTTCCTTTTTGAAAGATTCTGACATACCGTGACGTACCCTTTCTATTGCCCTTGTGTATCCTGTGTTGTATGTGATGTGGTCCCTGCAACATGTGTAACGGAGCGCTTCGCTCTACTTACATTTTCAGCTTAGGACTAGTGACTTGCATGCTGCCTACAACGTCCACTGACAACCTCCTTTATCATCGGCCCTACTTGACGTTAGGAGGACCAACCATATAGAGTAGCCATTAGCACGGGTCATGGGAATACTACAGCTTGCAACGAGCTCCATTTCCCCATGGCTAATCTAGCCATGCACCGGCAGCATTTGAGGCATATCATTTCTCAGAACGTTGATGGTCTGCATCGAAAATCTGGCGTTCCTGCCTCTGCTTTGAGTGAGCTACACGGCAACATTTTCGTGGAAAGGTGCGCAAAATGTGGCCATGCAGCTTGATGGCATCCGTTCAAGCACATTGTGAATTTGTTTTGTCAGGTGTTTTCAATTTGTTCAAGTCTAATTTCCGCAATGGTTTGATACTCGTACTCTGTAGCCGGTGGCTAAGATTTGGGGGGACCGCTACTTCGCGCTAGGCATTTTCCAACATGGGCTGACATTTGAACCACGTGCCCTACTACAAGCACCCTGCTTGAGCAAATTGTGCACAGACATGGAATGTACATACAGAGTCTAAATGGGGGGAACCTTAGTTTGCTCTAGCTCGATCGGGAGCACCCCAATCGGGCGAAGATATACCAGACCGAACCAGCCCGCGCCAGACTAATTTTGTTCCGATCCCTGCTGTCCCAGGACTTTGAGCGCACGTTCAACACCATTTGCCCTGGCGGCTACACTGGCCGCAGCTGTGAATTCTGTGGAGGCCCCTTACGCCACAGTGGCGTCGGCTTCGGGGACGATCTGCCACAACAGAGCCTTGGCATGCTTTGCTTGGCCCTCCACATAAAAAGGGAAGGTGATGGAAGGTGTCAGGATGACGGTGAGTTAGGTACTTTATGGTACTTTACATGTTATGGTAACGGTCGCCGCATCGGCATCTTCACTTCGCAGTGCACTGCTGAGGGTCATCAAGGAAGCCTGGGCTCAGACGGAGGCTGCTGACCTGTGCGTAGCTTTGGGCAGCTCCATCACTGTGACACCCGCGTCGGAGCGGGGATGGGTTGAGCATTGCATACGGAACTGGATTTGATAAGGCCTGAGGATCGTAAAATGAGACGCTGTCAAAGTCTCGGGGTTCCGGTAGTATGTTCAAGGCTTTTGTAAGTGTACACTGGGTAGATTAGGATGAAATCACAGACACACTTGGGTCCTGCTTGAAACTTGTATTAGGCCTTAGGATGCCTTAGGCTTAGCAGATGACCAGGGCCGGGGTGCTATCGAAATCTTTATATTACGATAAGATACGCTAAGATCATAATTATTGTACAATGTCAGGGGCCCTGGTGTCGATTTTGCAAGAATAGATCTTGCGACCTTGCCTTGTTTGCCCTTGGCTGATTTGACACGGACTTCTCTAGTGTCGTCACCAACTCATCGAAACACGTCGTAGGGAGGTGTTTCGATGCTGTCTAGTACAGCTTTACTCATCTTGAGCTTTGATGACTCCGGTGACACCTGTCAGACACGTCGGCGCCATTCCAGGAGATGCCGAGCTGGCTGGCGCGGAAGCATCGGAAGAGCTCTGGAAAAGGTTTGGTCATTGTCAACCTCCAAGCCACGCCCTGCGATTCCTTAGCCCTGCTGCGCATCAACGGAATGGTTGATGAGGCTGTGGATGGAATGGGCACATGGCATGCGTGAAAAACGAGAGCACTTTACTTGACTTTCATTGGAGTGTTGTATGTTTTCACCTGTGTTTGATGCTTCATTGTGCTCGAACATCCTTCGAATCGGTTCCATAGGTACTTTACGTGGTCGGTGTCCTTGTCAATTATGGACAAGTCCTTTCAACATAATACTGTATTCTTTTGTTCTATATAAATATATATATATGTTGGCACTTCCTTGTTTGTGTTAACTTACAATATTCCTTGTCTCTAAGGTCTGGGGTTGTCTCTAAGGATTTGGTCAATTTGTATGTTGTTCGATTGAACCTGAACATGGCATATGCTGTTCCAGCACAAAAGTGTTTTGTTTTCTCACTGTGATTGTTGTCGGCGTTGTTGTTTTTCATGGCGTCGGCTGATCTTGGATGCAGGCCACATGGCAAATAGTGAAGAACTGTTGTTCTGGTGTTAGTTGAAAAGACAATCGGCAAGGAATGCTATGCATAGCCTCATAAATTAGGAACAATATACATTGACTGTAACTCGTTTGCACAACTATAGTGGGCAATCAATCATGTATTTGATTACCATGAAATCATTTTATATAGTTTGCACCACCACCGGCAGCTGGCATGGGTTGCAATGCATTGCTAGCTGAAGCGCTGCACTGCTTTCTTACATGCGGCGGTTGCATTTTCCTACATGGAACACATGAACAGGTGGGTATGGGCGGAATAAGTTCAGCAATTTGTGATTATGCCTGTGTATGTGTCCATTTGTAACTTTATCAAAAACATCAGGCACAATATGGAAACATAATGCATCTTCAACTTTTCAACTTGTCAATGTCAAGTTGCTTTGATGGACTCCTGGACAGTGGAAGCTGATGAAATTGAGAGTGAGGATTGAATATGCTACTTGTTTCTACAAGAAGGCAACATGATATGAATGTTACAACTACGGTTGCATTATATGATGTTCAAATGCCACAACATAGTACATAGCTGTGGTTCAGGCTAGGCAGGATCAGTTCCCTTTTATATATAGGCTCACAGTGCACCCTGCAGACACAAAACTACAATGCTGGTGTGCGAAAGCTACAAGAGTGCTTGCAGGATTCTTGGCTGCGCTGCTCCCCATTGTTGAAAGTGCAAGCACAAAGTTGAGCATTGAGATTGATTCAGTCTGGGACATTGCATTGGACACCAATGCTGAATTCTATTTAGCCTTTCCCTTTGCCATGCCATGCTATGAATCAACCCAAAGTTGGTTCCAGTGACTAGTTGCTACTTCATAAAATTGGAACTGACAGCTGCCATTTCAACTTCTAATTTAGCAATGCACTGGAATAAGCAACTGGACTTTGGCATAGAATTGACACTTGAGCAGCTCCTTCCAAGGAACTGCAACAAGCCAAAAGCAGCTTGGCGCCGCAGATATGCATTGGCAGAGGGAGGCCTGCTTTCTCAATTGCGCAATTGCATAAATTCATGAAGCTGATGCTTGGCATTTACTTAAATAAGTTCAAGCTCATAGACGGTCAGACTGCAGACTGACATTTGTGGTGGGTATGTCAAATACCTTTTGAAGACCTTCGGATATTTATGTTTGGCGCGAAGACGGCTTGAGGGGACCGGGGCCTGGAAGTTTGACATTTGTTGTTTTTGTGTAGGGGAATCGGACTGGTCATGGTAAATGGGTACTTTGACCAATCATCAAGGCGGCTTGATTTGCGATCTTCTTCTAGAATGGCCAGTGCTGTAGCAAACGCATTGGAACTGGTGTGCCCATCCTTAGCTTTGGAGATGGACAAGGTGGACCTTCCCAGTGTAGCAACATTGAGCAGGGCAACCTTCAAGCTTGATGTAGCACACATGCTGTTGCGGCGGCACCAGTGGTCCAATTGGTTGGGTGAACACAACAAGCGGTCGGTGCAACTTTGCTTCTTGCACATCATTTAGTGATGTGACATGTGGTCTTAGATGATGTTAGTGATTAGTGATGCTCAACCTGCTCCACTGCAGGCTTTGACTCTTCACCATTGAAGCGGGACTACTTCCTTTGCTACGAGACAACCATTGAGCTACTTGCCCAAATTAACAATTGGTCCGGTGATTGACTCAGATGACAATGACTAAAGGTGATAATGATTTGACTCAGGTCAGACCGCAGCATCCTGTTGTGTCAGGATTTGCAAAGGAACATGAACAAGGAGGACGCTTCTGAGGACGACCCCTTGTTTTCATTGTCTGGTGACATTGAATGTCGTGTACTACCTCCTGTGGCCCTAGGAAAAGGTTTCTTGGTTTGTTTTTATTTTGGTTCAATTGGAAGAACTGTGCCATCAAGTGGTAAAGAACATTTTGCTTCATCTGGTGCCAGGTTTCACAAAAGCAGTTGACAAAATCACAGCATTGGTGCATTTGCTCTACTTAGAGACAGGGGACTCTTTCCGCAACTACACTGAGAGCGTAGTTGCTTGTGTCAGCGATCAAGGCTCCTAGGCTCCTAGATATGGACAAAGTATATATGTTTGACCTAAAATAAATGAATCAATTGTTGGAAACCATTGACAGAAAACACCTAAGTTAAGGCACAAAGCATCAGCACTGACCTCGTCTCTTGTGTTGAGAGAGATTCCTAGGCACAGAGCACTTGCTCATAGATTCAGCAGAAGTCAGTCGACGGGATGTTGCAGCTGATGATGCTGCTGCGATCTCTGTAAATCCATGCCAAACGGATTCGAATTGTGGGAGATTGCAGTTGCAAAACTCTGATTTTCACAATTTCCTTGATGCTAGCGAACAAGGCAAAGTGTTTGAGGAACAGGAATTCATTGATGCTAGCGAACAAGGCAAAGTGTTTGAGGAACAGGAATTGCCGGCATCACCATCATGTCCTGCGCCATCTGAATCTGGAGGAGGGCAACAGTCCATATCAAAGCTGTTGCTTGACTCTGTTACTGTTCTCCATTCCGTGGGATGATAGAAATGCAGTGGGGTTGCTTGTTCTTTCAAGGCTTCCCAATGCCATCAGAGTATTGGGAATCAAACATATCTGCGACAATGCTATGCACTCTGGTTTGGAATCTATGATGCAGCACCTCGGCAAGTCTAGCAAGTAGGGTGATTTAGTTTAGATCTCTCTTGATTCAGATTAGCTTGTGAGTACTAAGTGGTGGTATGCAACTTGACTTGTAACAATTGGATTTGTGAACCTTAAGGTGGAATGACTTTATCGCTGAGCTTCACCAAGTGGAGTATTTGTTGAGGCGATCACTTAACCGTGAGCGATTTATTGCAACTTGCATTCCCAAAGGGATGACATCCGCAGAATCAGCTTTGCGTTCTTGGAATCTATCATTGAAGAATTTGAGATGGGAAGCAATTGTCAACTTCTGCACTGCTGTGCCTCAGCAAGGTAAGCAAATATGAATAAAATAACTGTTTAGTTCACAGAAGTTAAACTATACTAGTACCTGCTGTGAGCTTCAGCAAAGCGCAATTTCTTCTAAGGTCTTGGAATTGGAACCAATATTTCGAAGCCTCTGGGATCACAAGAAGTTCGCAACCAACAGTTCTGCATCATCCAAATCAAGTGATGATTATGATCCTGGTGATGTTTCCAAATTGCACAGGGCTGTATCAAGCAATATGTTCTGGTGCATGGTTCGCTTGGTGCATGATTTGGGTTGCCTTGGAGAACACTTGGGGAGGTGGTCTGAAGGGTGTCCCTGCCATTCATCAATTCTTGCCAGCGGTTCGCGTGTTGCCTGTCAGCTGAAAGGATGCAGGGCGCCTGAATTTGCTTCAGGATCTGCACTGGAAGAAGTTCAAGAGAAGTTTCGTGTTGCAGGTTTGAACTTTGTGGCTCATTCATCATCTTTGATGGAATCCCAACGCATCAGCTTGCTGAATGATTTCGACCGAGCCAAATCCAAGATTGTATCAGAAATCACAGTGAAAATAGGGTACTGGAGGACCCTTCCACATGCACTATGTGGCCTGGGCCATTTTGATGCTGCGCAAGCACAAGCATCAGCTGCTCATGTTTTGCGACTGTGGACAAAACAAACTCCAGGATGCAATCATCTTATGAGCAGACGGTTCTTAGATCCTCAATTCTCTGGTCTTCGAGGAGATGAACATCCTTTGAGACAACATGTGCTTTGATGACAATTAATTATTAAATGTTGAGAGTAGTGTTGTGCTTGGGCATTGCTATTGTTTAGCGTTAACATGTGTTTATACTTGCGTCAATTGATTAATCCAAGGTGGAAGACATAGCAAGTGGCGCCAAAACAGTTATGCAGATGCTTGGGTGCACAACAGTCTTTTTCCATAGGGTCAGTGGCAGGGTTTGATTAGCAGTGAATGGAGACACATGACACTTGCTGAACCAAGGATTACGAACATTGACTTTCAATACTGGGTAGCTTCTTTGGCGCTAATAAAGGTGAGTGAGCGTCCAGTAGAAGGATTACACGCACGAGTGTCCAGAGTGATGAAGCGCGCTCCCAACGCAAACATGGCTCTGATATCATCAGAGCTGCGCTTTTCATCCTTTTGCACTTTGCTACTCTCAAATCCACAGGCAGGCATATATCATATATGTTTGATTCCTTTGAGTGCCAAGTCCAAGTGTAAGGACAGATTGTTTGTTCAGCACTAGTGTTGCTTGCATATCCATGCAGGCCTTGCAAGATTGCGCCAGCGAATTGAGTGCAGTGGAGAAGACTGCTGGATTTCGAGCTTGCGTTCGGTGCAAGCCTTGGGTTTCACAGAGTCATTGAAATGCTTTAGAGCTCATTCATGATATCAAATAAGGAAACTTTTGGGCATGGAGAATATCAACATGACGGAACTGCAGGACATGGACATGACAGAGTTAGCCAAGCTTTTGTACAGAGACAATATTAGGCAGAAACATTCCGAGAAGCCGAAGGTGACAGAACGCATACAGACCAATGATGATGCTGGCTCACGCTCCATCAAACCTTTGCCAGTTACAGCATGTCCGCAAGTCCAGCTTGTTGGAAATCACATGATTCAGGCTGGTATTCAGTTTTCAGTGTTCCATTTACTTAAGGGATCTTAAGGGTCACAAGCAACAGCTGTAGCATTGGCAACACATTTACAACTTTTGATTGTTGGTCAGGTATCACTGCATGATAGTTCAGCCCTTCTCTCAATGCCACCTGAGTTGTACGAGAAGTGTGTGGTCAATCTGCAAGATGTGGCGACAGGTTACTTTGCAATCAGGAATTGCCAGTGGACAACAACAAAAACAACAACAACCTTCAGTCTTCAATTTGTATCTTTCTGAATTTGTAAATTGCAATCGCAAATGAACATTCTTCAGTTTTCTTTTGTTATTGCGTTCCAAGGTTGTCCATCAGTGAGGCGTCCCAAGCAAGGTTCTGTGACACATTCGAGCCTCCGAGAAGATGATTGTGTACAACAGGAGATTCAGATTGAGAACCTTGTTCGTGGTCATCGTTTTTTCAAAATCACAAACGAGAACTTTCGTAGCCATGTGGTGATTGGGGACTCGATGATTGGAGATGCTGATTGTATTGTTCAGTTCTACAAAGTCAACTCTGCTACCTATGACGGCAAGAAAATTCGGCAAGTGACTCTATCGCTTGACCCAAACAATGTTGGTACTTTTGCATGGCAGCTTGACCAAGGTAGTGGTCGTTTTTGAACAAGAACAGCTTGACTATGCACTTATTGAATTATTTGGTTGATGGAAAGTGGGAATTGTAATCAATAACTTAGGTCACGCCAAGCAGAACCTGTACCCATTGATGAACTACTAAAGATCAGAGTGTGGAAGGCCACCAATGATTTTGACATTCAACTGAAGCCGCATATGGATATGCGCCATGTTTGCAAGAAAGACACTAACATGAAACAATATGCAAACACACATCAAGGATAAAGGGTAGAGTTCATCAGAATCACTGACTCCAAGGACACGTCAAGAGAAGGACTTGCTTCTCGAACTGGCAGAGGCTCATGCGTTTGCCAATGCTGGACATGATTACTACCTACAAGATAGCCGAAATGTTCGTTCGTTGATCCAAGCTGGTTTGATCAATGTGTCTAAGACTCAGATCAGTTCATACTATATATCGGAAGAGGCCCAAACTATGTTGAAGCCAATCATCTCTGCATTTCGATCACAATCTACGAGACTTTCCACCCACTGCCGTGATGTTCCAGTGGAACAGATGTCGATTGTTGAGCTCACATTGACATTGGGCAAAGCAGGCAGTTCTGCCAGTCTAAACCGACAAACAACTAATGTGTTGCTGTATTTGTTTAACTTCACTCTTCAATGTAGATACATTAACTCAAGGGTTCTGTCCCTGGTAAGGATGGGAAGACAAGCTGCGCACAAACCGAGCATCAGTGAAGCCATATTCCCAAGGTGCAAAGAAGATCTGGTACCGGACCATTGACAAGAACCCATCCAAACACTACTTACAGGTGTTGGTCAAGGCTTCAGAGTTCTTCAATGAAGGACTGAAAGAGATATATCACTTTCAAATAGATCAGTATCTAGACTTCTTTAGTTTGCTTTGGTGTTTGCGAAAACAATTTGATAAATAAACAACCACTGGATCCTTTCAATTATATAACGTTTTATTGTTTCTCCATCGCTGAGGTACTATTTGGCAATTCTATGGGGCAAACAACTATCACAGATAGAGCCACACAAGGGTCGAGATTTCTATTTGGAGATCATGGGGAAGAAGCAGAAGGTTGTGAAACCACATGGTTCAAAGGGGTTACAAGAAGAACCAGGTCTGGTTGGCACCAAACATTTTAAGTTTGTTGATGCATTAAGTTGCGTTAAGTAAAATCAGTTGAGTCTGCTGCTGCCATTGATTTGAGTCTTGCCCTGCAGATCTTTTTGAACTGATGCGTGACTCTCAGAAAACAGAAGAAGAACCACCACAGGAAGTAGATGATGGTTCTGCATATGCCAACTCCCAACCAGTGTGGAGGAGGATGTACATCCGTATAACTGACTTGGAACGCCATGGGTTTACGGATGGCTGTGAAGCATGCAGGTTGATTCAGAACAACCTGTGCCGTACAGGAGTCAATCACACGGAGGAGTGCAGATACCGTCTTGTGCAGGCCATGCGCTCAACCCCTGAGGGTAGAGCAAGGCTGCAGGAATCAGACAAACGAGAAGAGCTGCACTTAGCAAGAGCTGTGGACATCTCAAATGTGTCTGCATCAAAGCGACATGCTTCGGGGATTTGAAGCATTGAGAAAAAAGG